CAGTCAGTAGGAGTGGGGGCACGTCTGTTACTTTTCCAAGAAGCATGGGAACAATCCACCACAGACAGATGGGCGTTGGATATCATAACAAAAGTATATCGTTTAGAGTTCTCCAGACCCCCTCCAGCTCACTCTTTTCAAACAACCAAATGGCCAGGAGAAGTAGAAAAAAGACAAGCCTTGAAGGAATTCGTCTCTACACTCCAGGAAGAAAGGGTCATCATTCAGGTTCCTTGGAGTCTATAGGGTCGAGGTTTTTATTCACATCTGTTCCTCACAAGAAAGGCTTAAGGTGGATGGAGGCCTATCCTAGACTTAAGAAGGTTAAATCAGTTCCTACACATCCGAAAGTTCAAAATGGATTCAATTCAATCCATCATAAAGACAGTTTTTCCACACCAATGGATGATTTCTATAGACTTGGCAGATGCTTATTTCCACATCCCTATTGCAGTAGTACATCAGAAGTTCCTTCGCTTTGCGGTGGAAAAAGGGCATTTTCAATTCTGGGTACTGCCATTTGGTCTCAGCACAGCTCCAAGAACATTCTCCAAAGTCTTAGTTGTCTTAATTGCAGAACTCAGAAAAAAGGGCGTAGCCATCTACCATTACCTGGATGACATCCTTATTTTGGCAGAGGACAAAGATACCCTTCAGACCCATGGGCAAATCTGTATGCGTTTCCTACGTCTCCATGGATGGAAGATAAATGAGAAAAAGAGTCAATTACAACCAGCTCAGAAGATGAACTATTTGGGAGCCATATTCAACACACTAGCAGGCACAGTGCAACTGTCTCCAGAAAGAAGTACAAAATTAATAAAGAAAGTCAAAGACATGTTAGCATTCAATGTGACCTCAGCAGAGAAATGCATGAGTCTTCTAGGCTCAATGTCCTCCACCATAGGGCTAACAAGATGGGCCCAATGGAGGATGAGGCAATTCCAGAAGAACTTCATTCTCCAGTTCAGAACAGGAAATCCATGACAGCCTATCAAGATTCCTCCTCAGGTCCATCAATCACTGATGTGGTGGTTACAAAAGAAGTCTCTGTTCAGAGGATTCCCCTTGGGGAACATCACATGGACTGTTGTAACCACGGGCGTGAGCCAATGGGGATGGGGAGCTCACCTGCAAGACCAATTCATACAAGGGAAATGGCTTTTTCCAGCAACAGAGACCCCCTCCAACCTATTAGAGCTGATGGCAGTACTAAGAGCTCTGAAAAATGTTCTCCCCCTTATACGCTTCAAGTGGGTCAAAATCAGAACAGACAACGCCACGGTAGTTGCCTACATAAATTATCAAGGAGGAACGAGGAGTCTGAAGCCTCTGATGGCCTTTACGCAGAAACATCTAGCAGGCATATTGGCAGTACATCTTCCTGGAATCCAGAATTCCATAGCAGATTTCCTGAGCAGAGTGGAATTAGACCCAGGAAAATGGAGTCTGTCAAACAAAATATTCGAGAAAATTACACGAATATGGGGAATGCCACAAATAGACCTAATGGCAACAAACAAAACAGGAAAGTAAGACACTTCTGCTCAAAGAACATCGATCCTCTGGCCATAGGAAGAGATGCTCTATCAAGCATTTGGCAATTCCACCTAGGTTACGCATTCCCTCCTACTCCACTCATCTTTGCACTTCTGAGACGGTGGAGACAAGAGACGGTATCCATCATTCTCATAGCTCCCTTTTGGCCTCGCAGACCATGGTTTCCCCTTCTATTGAGCCTTTGCAATGCAGACCGTTGGCAGCTTCCAAAGATTCCTTCGCTTCTACATCAAGGTCCTGTTCTCCACCCAGACCCAGCCTCCCTCAATCTGATGGCATGGAAGTTGAAAGGGAAGGATTAAGAGGTAAAGGTTTTTCTCATGCAGTAATAGAGACCCTGCTACAAGCAAGGAAACGCTCTACGTCCACAACTTACTACAGAATTTGGGATGTCTTTTCCTCCTGGGCAACGTCTAATCAAATAAACATTCAGACGATCACTACTAAAGATATCCTGGAATTTCTGCAACTAGGTCTTGACAAGGGGTTAAGTTATAGTACCCTGAAAGTACATGTTTCAGTTCTTTCAGCCCTTACAGATCGAAGATGGGCCTTAAACACGGATGTGACCAGATTTATGGCAGCAGGATTAAAGATAAAGCCTCCTATCAAGCTTTTTGCTCCACCATGGGATCTACCACTGGTATTAAAAGCTCTGAGTGGTCCTCCTTTTGAACCTCTAGAATCCATCTCTCCTCACTTTCTCACCATAAAGACAGTTCTGTTGGTGGCCTTAGCTTCAGGTTGAAGGGTGTCTGAGCTCCATGCCTGAGTTGCCAAAGAGCCTTTTACAGTATTCCAGAAGGACAGAGTTATTTTGAGGACTGTTCCTGAATTTCGTCCTAAGGTGGTATCAGCTTTTCACATCAACGAGGAGATAGTACTCCCAACTCTTCATTCAGAAGTTCCTGAAAATGAAGCAGAACCCAATCCTTCTCCGTTAGATCTGGTGAGATGTCTGTCTGTCTATCTACAAAAATCATCTGCTTGGCGTAACTCTCAAAGACTGTTCATCATCCCCAATGGTCCCAGAAGAAGGCTCAAGCATCTAAAATATCCATCAGTAGATGGATAGTAGCCGCAATCATACAGGCTTACAAGGTATCAAATGTGAAAATTCCAGAGGGACTCAAAGCTCACTCTACGAGGTCCCTTTCCTCATCTTGGGCAGCAGCGGCTAACGTATCACCAGATCTTATCTGCAAAGCAGCCACTTGGTCCTCTCAGAACACGTTTATAAAACATTACCAGATTGACGTAAAAGCCAGTCAGTTAGACCTCTTCGGCAAAACTGTTCTGTCCGCAGTCAACTCATCTTAGTTGATTTGTCTACAATTTCACGTGTTGTTTTCTAATACTCTAGCATCTCTGAATTACTGAGTCTGAGTTTTTCTTTATTCTCTCCCTTGGTTATTGCTGGGGTATTACCCATTGTTGGGCTGCCATGGATATGGCCAGGAAAGATGAAAATGTATTTATACTTACCGTAATTTTCCTTTCCTGGTCATAGGCCATGGCAGCACAAAGATCCCGCCCTGGGATATTGCTGTTAACAAGACTGAGGGAGTGGTGGTGTGAGTGGGTATTTATACCTCTATTTTAATTCTGTTCCTGTCTAATTAGGGATAGGGAGGAGCTAACCCATTGTTGTGCTGCCATGGCCTATGACCAGGAAAGGAAAATTACGGTAATTATGAATACATTTTCATCTCTATATACACACTATATACATATACACACACATAAATAATTATATTTTTTATTTGTTTTTTACAGATGCAGGGAGACTGCGTGTCAGTTCAGGCAGTCTCCCTGCAGGCAGATTCACATCCGCCTATTGCGGCCATGTGACCGTTCTGTTAAAGCGATCACATGGCCGCGGGGTACTAATTCGCCTAGGGGGTACTGTCAGACAGTTTCCCCACACCGGGAGCAATGCTGATCGCCGCCGGGGGAACAGCAGTGATCGGGTAAGTAAATAATACCGGTATGACGGTACTCAAGGGAATTTTTCCGATGATGGTCCTGAACCTTTAGCGGTCCTTAAGGGGTTAAGTGTTTGGGGTTTTTGCCTAGAGTGTCCCTTTAAAGGACCACTATAGTGCCAGGAAAACATACTTATTTTCCTGGCACTATAGTGCCCTGAGGGTGCCCTCACCCTCAGGGTCCCCCTCCCGCCCGGCTCTGGAAAGGGGTTTAAACTTACCTTTTTCCATCGCTGGGCGGGGAGCTCTCCTCCTCCGATCCGCCCCGTCGGCTGAATGCGCACGCGCGGCAAGAGCTGCGCGCGCATTCAGCCGGTCGCATAGGAAAGCATTTACAATGCTTTCCTATGGACGCTGGCGTGCTCTCACTGTGAAAAATCACAGTGAGAAGCACGCAAGCGCCTCTAGTGGCTGTCAATGAGACAGCCACTAGAGGATTAGGGGGAAGGCCTAACCCATTCATAAACATAGCAGTTTCTCTGAAACTGCTATGTTTATGAAAAAATGGGTTAACCCTAGCTGGACCTGGCACCCAGTCCACTTCATTAAAGGACCACTATAGTGCCAGGAAAACATACTCGTTTTCCTGGCACTATAGTGCCCTGAGGGTGCCCCCACCCTCAGGGTCACCCTCCCGCCCGGCTCTGGAAAGGGGTTAAAACTTACCTTTTTCCAGCGCTGGGCGGAGAGCTCTCCTCCTCCGATCCTCCTCTTCGTCGGCTGAATGCGCACACGCGGCAAGAGCTGCGCGCGCATTCAGCCGGTCGCATAGGAAAGCATTATCAATGCTTTCCTAAGGACGCTGGCGTGCTCTCACTGTGAAAATCACAGTGAGAAGCATGCAAGCGCCTCTAGCGGCTGTCAATGAGACAGCCGCTAGAGGAAATAGGGGAAGGCTTAACCCATTCATAAACTAGCAGTTTCTCTGAAACTGCTATGATTATTATAAAATGGGTTAACCCTAGCTGGACCAGGCACCCAGACCACTTCATTAACCCCTTAAGGACACATGACATGTGTGACATGTCATGATTCCCTTTTATTCCAGAAGTGTGGTCCTTAAGGGGTTAAGCTGAAGTGGTCTGGGTGCCTAGAGTGGTCCTTTAAGCAAAAGTTGTTTTGCTGCCTATAGTGTCCCTTTAACCATATTGGTGATTCCTATTGGAGTTAAATCCCAGGATGTGCTGAGCTGCTCTCACTCTGTATCCTGGTAACACTATCAGCGTTCACACAGCATTGCTTATACTCGTCTCTCGGCTGTTTCCGTGAACCCGCCCACTACTCTAGCCCCGCCTCCTCTTATTTTCAAACACCAATCAGGCGTAGAGATAGAGTGAGACTGTCCTTCTAATCCGAGCTCCGTATCTTTATTGGTCTCCCGGCTGGGAAGGGGCGGGCTCACTGAAATTGCCGAGAGCAGAGGGTCTATTTTACTCGGGCATATTCCGCTTCCGACAGAAGCCGGCATCAGTGACCCGGAAGTGCTTCTCTGCAGCGCTGGGAGATCGGCGTGACTTTGAAAGGCATCCTGGTCACTATGCGGCTCCTGAAAGCGGCCTGTATTCTGGGGCACCGGCCCTTCCGCCAGGCCGGGCTCTGCCGGGGGAGGCAGGTGAGGAAGGGATATGGTGCAGGCACCCAGTGTATACTTCTACCCAGTGACTGGGATAAAACAAACTTAATGAAGGGTCATTACCGCCTGTGTCTGGGGTATGGGCTACCAGATATTGAGACATGACTGCCAAGGGTCCAGGTTTTGGGGTACCAGACATTAAGACATGACTGCCATCGGTCCAGGTTATGGGGTACCAGACATTAAGACATGACTGCCATGGGTCCAGGTTTTGGGGTACCAGACATTAAGACATGACTGCCATGGGTCCAGGGTATGGGCTACCAGACATTAAGACATGACTGCCATGGGTCCAGGTTATGGAGTACCAGACATTAAAACATGACTGCGATGGGTTCAGTTTATGGGGTACCAGAAATTAAGACATGACTGCCATGGGTCCAGGGTATGGGGTACCAGACTTGACTGCCATGGGTCCAGGGTATGGGCTACCAGACATTGAGACCTTACTGCCATGGGTCAAGGGTATGGGTACCAGACATTGAGACCTTACTGCCATGGGTCCAGGTTTTGAGGTACCAGACATTAAAACATGACTGCCATGGGTTCAGTTTATGGGGTACCAGACTTGACTGCCATGGGTCCAGGGTATGGGGTACCAGACATTAACACATGACTGCCATAGGTTCAGGTTATGGTGTACCAGACATTAAGACATGACTGCCATGGGTCCAGGTCTTGGGGTACCAGACATTAAGAAATGACTGCCATGGGTCCAGGTTATGGGGTACCAGACATTGAGACATGACTGCCATGGGTCCAGGTTATGGGGTACCAGACATTAAGACATGACTGCCATGGGTCCAGGTTATGGGGTACCAGACATTAAGACATGACTGCCATGGGTCCAGGTTATGGGGTACCAGACGTTGAGACATGACTGCCATGGGTCCAAGGTATGGGGTACCAGACTTGACTGTCATGGGTCCAGGGTATGGGGTACCAGACTTGACTGCCATGGGTCCAGGGTATGGGGTACCAGACATTAAGACATGACTGCCATGAGTCCAGGTTATGGGGTACCAGACATTAAGACATGACTGCCATGGGTCCAGGGTATGGGCTACCAGACATTGAGACATGACTGCCATGGGTACAGGGTATTGGGTACCAGTCATTAAGACATGACTGCCATAGGTCCAGGTTATGGGGTACCAGACATTAAGACATGACTGCCATGGGTCCAGGGTATGGGGTACCAGACTTGACTGCCATGGGTCCAGGGTATGGGGTACCAGACATTAAGACATGACTGCCATGGGTCCAGGTTTTGGGGTACCAGACATTAAGACATGACTGCCATGGGTCCAGGTTTTGGGGTACCAGACATTAAGACATGACTGCCATGGGTCCAGGTTATGGGGTACCAGACATTAAGACATGACTGCTATAGGTCCAGGTTATGGAGTACCAGATATTAAGACATGACTGCCATAGGTCCAGGTTATGGGGTACCATACATTGTAAACCATTGGGTTTGTATGCGTTGCAGTAATGTAGTCGGAATGATGTAGCATTTCTTTTCACCCCATTATAATGTGATTGCTGATGTGATATTTACAGCTGCTTGACATTGCAGTTAAATTTATCTCCAAATTTCATGTAAGAATCTTGTCCATAGGGGTAGATATGCTGTAGTAAGCCAGCACTCTATGAAATCAGTATACATAAAAAAAATGTTATGCTGAATGATGTGTTGACAATGTCAGTATAATAAAATACCAGAAGAGTGTCATGCAGCATTTACAGTCTTTAATAATACAAATAAAAGCTTAGTAGCTCCATGTGGCTGATGCAGCACCTGGGCAAAATTCTACTTGAATCTCTGGAAGAGTAAGTATGAGACTGTCACTTTGAGGGTAATAAAGATTTTTTTTTAAATGTATTTATTAATTATTTTTGGAGTGCATTTGTAGTTGACAAACACTTGTCAGCATGAAACGCGAATATTATACATTGTTTTGTCACACTTATAACAGTGATCACGCTAGCTGGTCTGCACGTTTTAATTTTACATGCTTTTGTCTCTCTAGGCTAGGTGGAGTATTGCGTTGAAGGTTTGTTTTTCTGTCTGGTGTAGTGTTCTCCTGGGAGCCCAGAGTGAGGTATGGGTATGCTATGTGTAGCGTAGTGTGGGAGAACGATGATGAGCGTAGCTTAAGGTTATGTCGTGCGTACTCGTTAGTGCTTTACAGTAACTAGGTGCCATGTTATGGCCATGGATTGTAGGGTGAGGCGTAGTGAGTCCTAAAGTTGTGGTCTTTAGGTGGGTTCGGTGCCAGGCTTGTCCGCCCCTCTTTGAGCATCATGCCCCTGACCTAGGAGGTGGGGGGGGGGGGGGATATCCCACCAAGTAAGGGGTGTTGGTGTGGAAGTGTTCCTATATATGATCCATGCCCTATGCCGGTCAGTGCTCCTGTTTGTGATTTTTTTTTTGCTGGTAAACTTCTGGCTCACTAAGTAAAAAATAATATAAACTTAAAATTAAGGCTTAACAGGTTAAAACCTGAGATGAAGGCATAACAATGGGTCTTCTTTGAACTTCCGCGCAGAGCAACGTTCTTTGGGGCAACTTGGCGATGTGAGTCTTGTGTGGGCTCTGGGTAGTCAAGTCATATTAGGGCCTCTGGGGACAAAAGACGCTCTATTATCTAGATCCCAGGATTTGTCAGGGCCATCGGCGGGAGTTCCCGTAGCAGGTAATAGCAGTCTTATCGCCTCCAGAAATGCTGTAGTGTCATCAGGCGTGCGGAGGGTATGTATAGCTCCATTGCGTTTCGCCACTAGGGTGCCCGCTGGACCCCAGTGGTATTGCACCCCCGAGGACCGAAGGTGGGTGGTTACTGCCCCCAGTGATTTGCGCCACTGAAGAGTTGCCTTGGAGAGGTCTTGGAAAAAGTGTAGCTGTGAGTCCTCAAACCATATGGGCGTCTTTCCTCGGATCGCCGCCATAATGTAGGCCTTGTCGTTGGTTGAGGTGCAGCGAATTATAAAATCCTGTGGTGCGGAGGTGGTTCCTAAGCCTGGAATGCAGTATGTCCCTTCTAGGTTGAGTCTCTTGTTCACCGCGGGTGGTAGGATAGTGGCTAGCAGCCTCCGGGTATAATGGAGCTGCTCCTCCGCGGTTATCCCAGCTGGGATGCCCCTAAGGTTGCACTGCTGGGTGTGTATCTGCTGTACTGCGCCGTTAAAGTTGGACAATGCAGTTTTGGTGCTTTGGAGGTCATTCTCCGCAGCCTTGATGCGGTCTGTATTGGCCTGTATTTCTTTTTGAAGAAGCGCTCGGTCCGCAGCCATCATCTGATGCAGGTCAGAGAGGAGCACCTTGAGATCCCCTTTGGTTGTCGGGGCCGAGCTTTCGGTGAGGTGGAGGCCCCGTTTTTTAGTTGTTGGTTTTTTTTTTTTTTTTTCACCCAAAGTAGTTTAATCTGTTTATTTTCTAATTCCATTTGTATGAATGGCGTATCTGCTCTGGCACAGTATGGTATCAGTTTCAAATAAACTCTCACTTGCTATTACACTTATGGCATCTTGGAAAGATTGTAGGAGAGGTGCAGACTAACATGGCTATATACTAAAAATGGGAATTCAAGGTAAATTTCAAACTTAAAGTGGCGCTGTCACCTGGTACTTATCTTACTCAAATCTTTCCTCTTTCCCAACCTTGAAATTTTTGATCAATTTTTATTTTAAAACATAAGACAAAGTAGAGGCTACTTTGTCTTATGTATTCTCCTATGCCAGACATTGTCACCCAGATAATGGTGCAGTGTCCCAGTCCCACTTAGTCCTGCAATTCAAAAATAATTACCTTCCAGGAATAAGACTTTCTCCATTGGCTGTAAATAAGACAGCCACTAGAGACTTTTTTCATGGACGCTAGTGGACTCTAGGTACTCTGCATGAGAACTTCTGGTGTTTGTGAAATCCCCCTAGGAAAGCATTGAAGCAATGCTTTCCTATAGGGAGTGCCTCATGTGCATTTGCACATCTCCCCTCCTTCCATCACGCAATCATATAACGTTGGAGGAGGCTGCTTTTAGCTTCCAAGGGGATAGGGGTGGCAAAGAGCACTATAGTGTTACAACTTTGTATTCCTATCACTATAGTATCCCTTTAAGGCAAGCCCCCCTTTTGTCATGGTAAAATATTCCAAAATACTCCACCTTCATGCCAAGTCCTCCTTCTGTGTGCTCACAAGATCATCTTAACTTAAAGGGATTTTCCAGTGCCAGGAAAACATATTAGTTTTCCTGGCACTGCAGGACCCTGTAGTGCCCCTCCTACCCCCCATCCCAAGTTGCTGAAGAGGTTAAAACCCCTTCAGTGACTTACCGGAGTTGAGCGCCGATATCCCTTGGCGCTGGTCAGACTCCGCCTACTCTCCTCCCCCGCCTACTGCATGCGCATTAGACCTCCCCGTAGAAAAGCACTATTCAATGCTTTCCTATGGGGATTTTGGCGACGCTGGAGGTCCTCACAAAGCATGAGGACGTCCGGCGTTGCTTAAAACAGTTTTCGTGTTCTAAGAACACGGAAGTCCATCTAGTGGCTGTCTGATAGACAGCCACTAGAGGGGGACTTAACCCTGCAAGGTAAATATTGCAGTTTATGAAAACTACAATAATTACACTTGCAGGGTTAAGGATAGTGGGGTCTGGGTGCCTGGGGTATCCCTTTTAATACAGAGCGCTGCTTTACAAAGAGCATGCATGGAATTAGGATCCTGTTGCATACTGGGGACAGAAGAAGGCGGTGGCCTTACCACTAGTTTGAAGATGGAAGTGAAAAAGGATCCGGTGTAGGTAAAGAGGAGATCTGTGAGAACATTATCATGAATCGTGGACAGTTAGGAGTAGAGGAATGGGGGGCATAAAATCAAAGCGTGCAAGTTGCTTTAAGGTCAAAAGTAGCTGAACTGAAAGTGCTGCTGACTTAGAATGTTTTTTAAAATTGGCTATTATGATCTTAAGTTTGAGTTCACCTTGAATTCTCACTTTAGCGAATAGCCGTGCAAGAATCTCCCGGGTACCGCTTTATCTTACGTCTGTCTGTGTATGTGTGTGTGTGTGTGTGTGTGTATATATATATATATATATATATATATATATATATACAAACACACACATTTGGAATATAGGACACAGGCAGTTTTTTTAATCCAAATTTTGGGATAATCGTTTACAATTTTACTATGTAATTAAGATATATTTCTTAGTTTATATAAGAAAATTCTGTTTTCAAAATTAAACCCATGTCAAACATTTCTTTCTGCTTTGTTTTGTTCTGCAGACGTTGAATCTCTCCAGACATTGTTCCTCTGGTATCGTCCCAAATGAAAGGATACGGAATATTGGTATTTCTGCTCACATCGACTCTGGCAAAACCACCCTTACAGAGCGTATTCTTTACTACACTGGTAGAATAGCCCAGATGCATGAGGTATGGTGGGGACTATGAGTTAGCTCAAATGACATAAAATAGTTACACTGGTTGCAAAAACTGTGTATATAACAATAACAGACATGGTCCATTATGGACACTATCGGTTTATTGAACAGTTACACTCATCCCGTGAAACTGCAGGTTGGGGATTTACTACTTTTCTCTTAAATTCAACACATACTCATGCAGCTTATACCCTATGAGTATCAAGTTGTTTAAGATGTATTTTCTAATCTGTTAGTGATTCTCTATATTTTGGTTTAGGTAAAAGGTAAGGATGGTGTTGGCGCTGTCATGGATTCAATGGAGTTAGAGCGTCAGAGAGGCATCACAATCCAATCTGCTGCCACTTTCACAATGTGGAAAGACACTAACATCAACATCATTGATACACCAGGTACGGTAAAGTATGGCAGGATTTAAATTCTTGGATACACTCTGCATTTATTTTTTATCTTGTATTCTAGAGAAGGAATCCACACTTTCCGTTAAGGAGAGAGGGACCCATTCGTGGGATGATGCCGCTGTACAGATGTGGTATTTGCAATGCAGTCTTCTAATGTCATCTTTATTTTAACCATCAGGTCATGTAGACTTCACAATTGAAGTGGAGAGAGCACTAAGGGTCCTTGATGGGGCAGTTCTTGTCCTTTGTGCAGTTGGAGGTGTTCAGTGCCAGACAATGACTGTGAACAGACAAATGAAGAGATATGGTGTACCATTCTTAACCTTCATCAACAAGTTGGACCGATCCGGCTCTAACCCTAACAAAGCAGTACAGCAGATAAGGTTAGTTCTATATTTAATCCATTCTGTTCCTTTGTTGACAATAGCATCTAGTATGTTGCCAGGAGAGGGATGTCTTGTACATAAAGAACAAATCTTATATATGAACAATAGGTTAATATAATGACCATCAATCATCATTGTTTTTCGAACAAACCAGTCTGCATTGAGCATGCCTGGCAGGTATACACAGTTGGAAGATCTCTTTAACTTGCAACATCTGACAGGGGGAGAAGAACAGGGAGTCTGATCAGTGAGATTAATGCAGTGCAGCCTCCGATTTTGGGTTTCTATCGCCTGCTGTTGCACATTGATGCCCTCTTTGTGTCATTAATGGACTGGTTTGAAACTCAGATGGCTGGGTAAAGGTGAGGGTGCTGAAGAATTTTCCCTAGTTGAGAGGCATGCCCAACAAATCTGTCTAATTTTATAGTAAGTTGATCAATGTTTTTTTACATACTTTTCAAAGTCTTTCTTGCTCTATTTTGGTTTGTATATTTATTTAAAAGTATTTTCTGATTTACAGATATTATTGTCAAGTGATGCATGTCCCTTTAACTTTATTATGCAACATTTTACTAAACTAACCTGCTTTCTAATGTCTATGTATGTTACATTTTGTTTTTGTGCCAGATCCAAGTTAAATCATAATGCAGCCTTTGTCCAGATTCCTATTGGAATAGAGAGTAATTTTAAAGGAATCATTGACCTTGTGGAGGAGCGAGCTATATTCTTTGATGGAGAATACGGGTAAGATTTCTTTACAAGTTTTGTCAAAGTTTCGGATCCTGTCTGCAATATGCATGCTCCATCATTCCATGTCTCATTGCAACTCCTGTACTTTCAGACAATCTGTGAGATATGACGATATCCCAGCCGACTTTAGGGCAGAGGCAGCCGATAGACGTCAAGAGCTGATTGAAAGCGTAGCTAATTCTGATGACCATCTAGGTGAGATGTTTTTGGAAGAGAAAATCCCTACTAATTTGGAAATCAAGGTGAGCAAAGCTTCGGAGGGTTTGATCTGTTCACATCTTTAGTATTATTATATTTTTGTCCCACAATGCAATAGTGATTTTTTATTTTTTTTTGTGTGTGTGTGTCCAGTTATGGTACAAGGGCATAATCCATATAAAGATCCACTGCTCTGATCTGTAGTGAGACACGTGAGTTAGTCTTTCTTTGTTTGCAATGCAGCAGTGAACCTTTATATTTCATACCTTTTTGAGATTTGAATGTGTAGACACCTTTTGGCACTCCAGATGTTGTGTACTACACCTCCCATGATCCTTTGCCTGCTTTACAGCCGTAAGAGCATTATGGGAGATGTAGTCCAAAACATTGGAAGCGCTAAAAGTTGCCTACCTATAGTGAATGACAACAGAATTTAGTGAACATTGTTGATCTAAACAATACAGGCAAACCAAAATAAAAGTGGTCAATAGATGACTTGCTCCCAAGGGCATTCACATTTGATGTAGTCTTTGGGCCTTAGATTAATTAATAATAGAATTAATTAATAGATGAGTTCATTAAAAGACATTTGGCCAGTGATTGATTAATCACAAACAATGCAAAGAGGGAGATGTTTTCATCACTATGTGGTGGTAATAAACCCTTCAGTGTTTTCCAGAAATAGTCCTAAAATCTGTCAAACTTTAGATTTTTATAGTTTTATCTACAAAACATTTGTTGTAGTGATCTATTCATTATGTATGTTTTGTATTTTACAGCTACAAAAATGCATTTTAGAAACACAAATATTGATATATTTTGGTGCATTATGCATTGGTTGTGTGGCTTTATTGTTGTTCTTTATGTAGCTTCTGTAGAGATCAATACCATGTTGCTTGTCTCATGTTTTCTTTGAATCTCTTTCCCCATTAACCATTGTGATATAATGTAGACTGTGTTTTCTACAGCAAGCTATCCGGCGAGCTACACTGAAGAGATTGTTTACACCTGTCTTAGTGGGAAGTGCATTGAAGAATAAGGGTGTACAGCCACTTCTAGATGCTGTCCTAGACTATCTGCCGAACCCATCTGAAGTACAAAACTTTGCTATTCTCAATCAAGAGTAAGCATCTGGATTCATTTAGCATAAGGATTCTCTCTCATATGTTGGTTACACTGTGAGTGCGATGCATAAACATACAACTAGGGCAGTGATAGCTAGCTTAGGCAACCTAGATATTGGTAAACTATGCTTACCATGAGACATTGCCAGGCTGACACTGTTATTGAGCTGCAAGAGAAATAGAATTAATTCAGGAACATCTGACCTGCTGATATTGGCCATCAGAGAACTTAAATGGACACTATAGGCACCCAGACCACTTTATCTCAATTAAATGGTCTGGGTGCCATGTTTGTCCCTATCCCGTTTTAACCATGCAGGTGAAAACATTGCCAAAGGCAAAATGACAATGGTTTTATTGCAAGATTTAAATGCCATTAGTGGCTGTCACTCAGACAGCTACTTTAGGCACTTCCACTGAAATAGCAGAGCAAAACTCTATTTCAAACAGATGGTCTCATCGAGACCATCTGATTGGTGCATCACGGCCACCCAATGCGCTCTAGCCTCCCAATGCTTTCCTATGGCTTAATCTCTATCATTCCAGCCGAGGCAAATAAGTAAAATACCTTTTATTTTTACTGCATGCAGGTAGAGGCCAGGGGCCTAAATATTTACATTCCTAGCACTATAAGTGCAAAATGTACATTTGTGGTCCTGGTTATCAAAGTGAGGTAAATTACGAAGTCATTTACTGACTTAGTGCTTAGTTTACAATTTTTTTATTTTGCTTGCGAATCTATACCAACGCATAGATATCAGCTATGCAGCTTATCCATCCCTTCCAGCTGTGCTGTACTACAACTCTTATGTTTACTCTGCATTGTGGGAGTTATAGTTTAGGAAATGAGCACTAATAATTTGCTGACATTCTATAAACTGATAGTGTTATGTGACAGGCTCCATTAGAAGCAGTGATTTAATTTTAGATATGACCACCAGATGGAGACCAATCACCATATATATGTCACATTCCTCTTTAAAAACAGCCTTGTTAAAGTGTCATAACGTTAGATGAACAGGCTCGTTTTAGGCAACTAATAAAATGTAATTTGTTGTACCCCTGAAACTGTCAGCTCAAGTACAGATAAAACGTAACTGTTTACTTGACTTTTTCCTCCAGGTGTCTCCTATGCACATGCTTCCAAAATTAATAGCTGTAAATTTCACATTAAACATAAAATCACATCCATACTGTTTGTAGCAAACTGTGTGTAGGAAAATGTATAGGTTCAGTGTTACACTCATTAAAATGTCATGTTGTATTTATACAACCTATGCACCTTTAGTTGATTATAAAATGGTTCTTTACAATTTACATAAAAACTCAAATGAAAGAGGAATGTCTGGGTTTTAAGAATATTTGTATGATATTTGCAAAAGGCAGTTAAAATCAAAAGTGTGTATTTATTACTTCTGCAGCAAAGCTGATCTGCCCCCTTTCTTGCCCAGCACTTGTTAATGTGGGCAGCATCCAATCAAATGCCATAATGAGCACATTTAGGAGCTATAAAAATTATATGAAAATTGGTATTGGTAACCTACAAAAAATATTGAATAATTCAATATGGCATCTTTTGCAAATTATTGATATACATATTGTTGCCAAGGGAAACTAAAGAGTATCAAAGCCCTCTCTTTCTGCTACACTTCCCTCATGCACCTAGAAGATGAGGAACTACCCTCACATATGAGCCTCTGGGAGGGATCTAAATATAAGAGTCCAACAAAACACTTGGCGGCTGGCATTGGAAAGGGTCAAAAAAGCCACATACAGTTTGGCCCGTAGAGAAGCGTTCTGTAAATTAAATATGAGGTGGTACTTGGTACCTACGCGACTAGCACATATATACCCAGGCACAACTTCCATGTGCTGGAGATGCCAAGGCCAAGAAGGCACGCTACTCCATGTATTCTGGACATGCCCGAACATTACTAAATTTTGGGACACAGAACAGTTTCTCATAACGGCAGTACAGGTTAGGGTACCGAAAACTCCAGCATGCGATCTATTCCACATGTTCCCTAATTCATCCAGGGAGGACGAACTACACATACACTACACATACTTACTCACTGTCTCCTAGCAGCAAAAACCGCAATAGCACACAGGTGGAAACAACCAGAAAGCCCAACCATAACAGAGGTTCTAACACGACTTGACATAACAAGCAAATATGAGCAAATGGCCAGCCGTCTCCGGAGCGAGGAACACAAATACGCTTGGCGCTGGCAAAAAGGGGTTCAGATTAGAGACCAATTCAAATGATAGTACACGATCTATTTATCTACCCAACAGGGACCATAAAGGACCTATACCATAGCGAAGCGTTCTGCCAAAAAAAAGGCATCTACCTCCCCATGCCTTCCCCAACCCCCAAACCACCACCAACCCTCTAGAGCTTATGAGAGCTACAAAGGCAGGTAGGGAAACAAGGAGGACAGATGATTCCAAGGTGCAATGGTTGGAGCAGTAGGCCTCATCGATTAAACACGAAAAGGTGACCGACCCAGACACAACATAGGATTTTACTTGCATAGCATTGGAAATCTGACAACCGATCACTCAATTGGCCAATGAGGAATACCTTGTTGTAACAGGCTACTACATGCTAATATAAATCATCATTTGTTGTTGTTCAACAATCCTAGTGCACCTCATAGCATATGTCTAACTCACAATATACACCCAACCCATGTTTTATATCCAATGCACAATTGTACTGAATGTATGACCTGCAATGTCAAAATGCCTGATATAGCTCTACGAAATGTGTTTATCCCCCTCCCCTTTTTATTTTCTGTACGCCCTTTACTTTGACTTATATGAAACTATTAATAAAAATTAAGATATTGAAAAAAAAATATATACATATTGTACTGGAAGAAGCCCCAAAAATGTGCTTCTCAGAGTTAGAATTCTTATTTCTTCACACAGGAGCTTGCTTTGCACTATCAGGCAATTAACAGAGCAGTGATATGAGCTTCCAATAGAAACAGCTCCCACTAAAGGGAGAATTGTGGAGAATCCAAAAAGAATTTCAAAGATTAGACGAACTCCTCCTCATTGTTAATATTGATATCATCTCCCCTGATAGTCCGACATTATCGGTGCCCACGACTTAGCAAAACCCCCGACTCCACCTCAACTCACCCATAGGTGCGGTCCGTCTAACTGGCTTCTGGTAAATTGATTGGTGTATTGTAACAGTACCTCTCATCTCGTGTAGTAATTGTAATACGATGTATGTTAAACCATGTACATTACACTGTTGTTTTTTTGTTGACTGAGCGGTACCTTCCCCCCCTCTTCCTTTCTGTATCCCTCATACCCTCAGTTTTGCCTGTACTTGTTTCCTATAAATACCAATAAAAAGGAGACATTGAAAAAAAAAGATTAGACGAACAAACAAAAAATCAAACACAAAGCATATTCACTTATAATTCTCTGCAAAGCCCACTTTCATGAATAACCCTTTATGTGTTTTGGCACTGAACTGCATGTATGATGGAGAGCAAAAAACCATGGGTTTCATTGAAAGGTCACTCTAATATATGGAATGTTTATATTTTCCATGCACCTGCTCTATATAGCTTTATTTTCTTGTTTTAGGAACACAGAAGAGAAATCTAAGATCTTAATGAGTTCTCTCCGAGATGACACTCAGCCTTTCGTTGGCCTGGCTTTTAAACTGGAGGTAAGTTTTAGGTATCTGTCTTTTTGCCTATGGCACTAAATATCTGCAGTGGTTCTTGCAGGTTTAATGGGGAGTTAAAGGGAAGGTGAGCTCAGTGCCTACGTGGCTTTGTTTTTAATCCATTACATCGAAAGAAATATTGCAAAACCATGTCCACTAATTCATATACGTAGTTAAATGTGTCGTAAAGCTAGTAGGAAAGCACTGTGGTACTTTTTCTGGTTTCAGTGGACATAACTAGAAAAAAATCCAAAAATCTGTCACGAGGTTTAGTCAAAGGTCGACTTCTATGCATAATTTTAATGAACTTGTCTATAATGCATTATAGAGATTGGTGTTAAGACTACAATCTCTTTTCACAAATATTTATTTTTAATATTACTCCTAAGCCACTTTTATTCTTTGAAAAGTAGAGGTTTTGTAAAGTCTACAGTTGTGCACAACCAGAATGTGCTGAAACCTTTATTTGCAAAGCTGAAGATCTCCATTCTATACCAGGGTTAGAAGTAGAAAATTTTAATTATATTCTGGTGAACTCAAAATGCTACCTTACCAGTGTTTGCTGAATTTACCTTGTGGTGTATTGCAGGCTGGTCGTTTTGGTCAACTCACCTATGTCAGAGTGTACCAGGGAATGCTGAAAAAAGGTGAATACATATTCAATACAAGGACAGGCAAGAAAGTGAGGGTACAGCGACTGGTGCGTCTACATGCAGATTTGATGGAGGTACAGCATTCTTGATTTAATCTCACATTTAAATGCAAATTTGGTAATGGAAACAAACATTCTCCAAGCAACTACTTTGATTTTCAAGATATCACAGTTTGAGCTGCAATTGTAGATACAACCTTATTAGACTATTCTACAAGGAAAACAAAAAGAATTAACCTAGGGCCAAAATTTAGATATCACAAGGTAGAGGGCACAAAAAAAAGGGGGGTAACCCCTAAATGGTGAATATCATAGAGAATAAAGAAAAAAAGAAAAAAATGCCATTCTACCTGTGTATGATTTACTGAGAAGATTGTAGGTTAAAAAGTAACTTTTAATAAATAAATCTAAAATAAAAATATATAATATGAACAGCAGGAGTAAATGGAGACTATACAGCGAGTAAAACTCTGGGACTACTTATACAAGCTGTAAAAGTGTATACATAATAACACTAATGCTGAAACAATACTGTTTAGCTACAATATAACAGTGTATTCCCAAGTAATAGAAGTGATACTATATTATATATCACTAATAGCTGTAACAAGAGGGGGGGAGATAAGACAACTGCTAAACCAGTGCTGTCAATAGTTAAAAGATATGGATAAGTAAATCCCTACATGATAGTACAACTAACGACATGGGTTAACTCCACATACAATAATTGATAATGTTCTATGGTGCTTAACCTAGGAAAGATCAAAGATAATGGTTCAGCTAAGACATAATTCTGACAGACGGCGATTAGCCAGTTAAATATCACAAAAGCTGCCTAGATCATAGCAGCATTTTAGGATAATAAATTAAAGGTTGCTGTCAAGCAGTAAAGTATAAAATAAGGGGTTGCTGACATGGCTCTGTTTTTTCTGCAAGATAACTAGCAGTATATTCTAGTGTAACAACAGCTGCCTGCACTGAATTATGTTAACTTATGCTTGACCACAGTGGAGCACCAAGTAGTAGCTCACCTGTTAAGGACTGCTGACAGGCAGCAGTTAACCGGTTAAAAATCACACAAGTTGCCTAAATGCTAGCTGCATCTAAATAATAGGTCAAAGTATAAAGAAAAGTTTACAAACAGTTTTTAAACAGGTTGCCTAGGTAGTAGAAAATATACCGGTTAAAAGTCACGCAAGTTGCCTAAGTGCTAGCTGCATCTAAATAATAGGTCAAAGTATAAAAAGAGAGTTTACAAACAGTTTTTTGAACAGATAAAGAACAGTGATACCTTTAAGGCAGTGTGTTCAGGAGCTAATTCTATTAAAAATGGCTTATTCGGTAAGATTAAATGTGATAGTTGTATAAAAATCTGGAACAATCGATAATTCAAATAAGATGTATGGTGTGTATACCTTTAAATCTGCTAAAGGCAGATTCTGTGTGTTACACACCAACTGATCTGCTTATTAAAAAGCCACTATTTATTACAGAATAACATAAAAATAGTAATCTGTTTAATGTAGTTATACACACAGTTATATAAAAAATAGTAGTGTGTTAGGCTTAAAATTGTCTAATAGCAGACTAAGTAGTGCAAAAGCAGTGCTTCACTTACAGTAGAGAGATACACAAAATACTGAATCTCTATATATTGTAATAAGATCGCTTGAAATGTGAATTGATGAACAGTTTTTTGAACAGGTTGCCTAGGTAGTAGAAAATATACAGACAGTGACAGAGGAAGGCATATAGAATAAAGGCATATAGAATAAAGAGTCCTGAGTCTTGTGCCTTCGAGGGCACCCCTTACTAAAATGCCTGGTCTTATCAATCTCCCCCCATAAACATAATAAAGGAAAAAGAAAGAGAAATAAAGTATGTACAGAGTACACAAAATTAGTGTTAAGAGTCTCCAATATGCACTCCTGAGATGCTGGACATGAATGAACTTGATGTCGGTAATTTAGCAATAGATAAGCAGAGAGTTAGGTGCCGACACCAATAATGTTTCAGTAAGTGTCCAGAGCCCCTATTAGACTGTCCAAACCAGCAGTTACCTAGCTAGGATCTGTCCTAAATTGGAGCATTCTGCATCATAACAAATTCAAGTGTGGCAACAAAACATTAGAGGACCCAGTTCTAAATTGATTAAAATTATGTGATGAAACAGACGAACAAGGCACCCCTACTAAAAGACGAGGTAGCTTCTGAAGAGGTCGCTTAGCCTTCAATACCATACAACCAAAGCAAGAAATTAGCGGGATTGCTTCTAAAAGTGTAGACATGTCATTATATTAGAAGTTCTTACATCAATACATGCGCATCATTTTTGCTATTACAATGTTTTCCATATGTTCTTGGAAGTAGATCTAGTGCTTAATTAGACACACAGGAATGCTGGACCCTGTTACACTAATTAAAATTGGTGGCAGATCCAACAGTCCGAGAGGTAGTTTGCTAATGCCAAGGATAGCATTCTAACCACTCAAATGAGGTGGGCACACACATTCTACGAGCACCATAATATTTAGTGCTTGTCTAACATAGACTGCTACTTTAAGCTTCAGTATAATGTGTTGCTCTCCATAGGTAACATATGAGTAGCAAGTCTCTTAAAATAGTTTTGTTTAGCTTTTTTGGCACTATAGAATGGATTCTTTGTTCAATTATTCTGATGGCTTGTCAGTGGTTCCTTTGTTTCCTGCTGCTTTTGTTGCAGCACATATCTTCCGTAGTAGAAAGAGAAATCTGAATATGTATATTGCAAAAAGTTAATTGAAACATATTTAATTATTTGAGTCTTTCCAAAAGGTTGTTTAACAGTGCATGAATATAGATTAGTTTTACATAATCAGGCCACGGATTTGTATTGACTTGAAATTGATTGTCCATTACAGTACTTAGTTTTTTCTTTTCAATTTGTGTTTTCTTAACTATTCATAGGATGTGGATGAAGTTTACGCAGGTGACATCTGTGCATTGTTTGGAATTGACTGTGCTAGTGGAGACACCTTTGCAAGCAAGTCCAATGACAACATTTCCATGGTGAGAAAGTGGCTAATACATACAAAAACTGTACGGAAAAGGAGAGCATGTCAATACAATCACACTTTAGTGAAAAGGGAATTGTACATTTTATTTATTTATCTGTGGGAAAGCAAGTGCAATTGTGAACTCCCTGAGACCCTCATTATTCCATTTAATACAGTTATACATGTGTGTTTTTCAAACTTCTAAATGCATAAATTGTAACGATTTTATAGTTTTTAAATGTGACTTTTCCCCACAAATCCATCAATCCTTCACATAGACCTCTGTATGCTAGTGGCATCAATACATGCAATGTCTAAACTGTGTATTGAATGACAGAGAGATCAGGAAACCATACTACAGACTGTTATCATGCTCCTTGCTACCCATCCAGGGGGAGTATAGGACACTCTAATTTGTTGGCAGTGAAGTCAACATCACTTTGAGGATTTTTGTGATTGGGGAAGTATCCCCAAAAAGGGTCAGTTGTAACAGAGAATGGCAGGAATTAGATGATAGAAGGACATTTTAGTGCAAATATAGCATGCATCTTTTTGATAAATAATTTATATACAGCCTTAGGAGATATTACAATTGAATCCAGTGTGACAGGATCATTTTAAAGAGGACAAACAAGTGAAGTTAGTACATTTTTTGCACTAATCTCCCAGTGCATTTCATAATTAAACATTACATTTATTTTGGTATTTTAGAAAAAAACATGTTTTAGGAAGAATGCATAACACAGTTGATTGTTGGTATAGTGAAAATGCTAGGCAGGAGAAACAGCTGGATCACTGCTCCTTGTATGATCAGCAACCTGAACATGCTGTTGTTTGTGTTCTAGCTGTTATAATTTTTAAAGGAACATTATAGCATTAGGAATACAAACCTGTTTGTACACCTTTTAGGTGAGTATTACCTACTTTAGAGCCTGCGCTGGACTCGAAAACTGCACTCCACCTCTTTGGCTGAGATCATCAGTGTCGATGATCTCAGCCAATCCAGTGTTTCCCCATAGAGAGGCTATTGCATATGCCTCTCTATGGGGGGTGAAATCTTCAGGGCGTGGGATGAGGGCGGAAGGTAGAAGGGCACTCTAGCATTCTACAGTGCCAGGAAAACTGGTTTGTTTTCCTGGCACTAGAGAAACCCTTTAAATTGTCTCTATCAGAAAGACCGCCACTAGAGGTATGCTAATTCTCCAATGTAAAAAATGTTTCAGTTGCAGGTTTAAACAGACACTGACATGACATGCAGATGAAGTGGTTTGGCAGCCTATAATCTCTCTTTAATTGCATTACTACAAACAATAGTGTCAGAATGCTTGTTGTCTCCCTGAATAGAATATAAATGAAACAATTAAGATTCTCTGTTACATAATGACATTTGCTCATGTTATCGTGCGGAGTAGTAACAGTTTTGCCAAAGCCTACATTCAGCTGAACATCTTGGTTTAACTGCATTGATTACAGTGTTTGATAATTAAATGGTATAAACCTGAAGGCTGTGCAAAATACTCCAAGTAGTAGATACCTGGAAGAGCATTTTTCATTGGAAGTTGTAAAGGTTAACCAAAATGCTTGGGACATACAAAAAGCATGTTGAAGAACAAATCCAATAAAGTCTGCAAATGTAAAACTAACAGTGTTATTTTCTAAAGTGAGAATTCAAGGATAATTTTGACAGGGAAACCAAACTGAAAGCACATCTGACTTAGAGAAAGTTTCTAATTTGGCTATTTTATCCTTAAATATGAAATTCACGTTGAATTATCACTGTGGTGAATAACTGTACTTTTTTTAAAATTTTTTTATTCCAGGAATCCATTCATGTTCCTGATCCAGTCATTTCAGTAGCTATGAAACCATCCAACAAGGCAAGTAATATCCATGTTCTCGCAATTGGTTTGCCTAACATTTGGAATTCTGGTGCACCTAACAATTGAACCTAATGATTTGCCTGAAAAGCATTGTATCCCCCTCACCTCATCTTTACTACTTTTAGAATGACATGGACAAATTCTCAAAAGGCATCAGCCGGTTCACAAGAGAGGACCCAACATTCAGAGTGCATTATGAGGTGGAAAGTAAAGAAACCATAGTTTCTGGGATGGGAGAGTTACATCTGGAGATCTATGCTCAGGTAAGGAATGGAAGAAGTGAAAAACTTGTAAACTCTTTATGATTGAATTAAGACAAGAGAAATACCTTATGATTGTATTGTTGGGGTCGGTCGAGGCTTGTCCACAGGGGCACTTGGGACAGCGCCACACCAGTTTTTATATGGAGAAAAAAAAGTCTTAGCAGTAATTTGGTAACACTAAGATTCTCTTTTTTTCTTCTGGAGGGGAGTAAGGAATCTGCATAGAAATGCTATGGAATTGCGTGTACACACATGCAACAAAGGAGGAGATATCAGGCTTTATTTTAGCCGGCCCAGCATTGTGATTGTATTTTTTTTGTAAGAGAATAAAAGCACAACAAATAGTATTTTGTGCTAAAATCTCTGTAGTGAAAAATCTGATTTAAGTGTGTCATATCACATGTGGTTAATCGTACATGATTATGGGACATATTCAGATGGCAGCTGATCACTTTCATTTTTTTATTCATATATTTGACTCTGTACTTTGCACATACAGTGTACCTTGAATTATGAGGTTTTCTTTTAAATGATGTATAAATATAGAAGATAGGCCTATGCTTTGATTTTGTACATCGGGAGTCCAAAGTCCATTTCTTGAAACAATATTAGAAATCATCAGTTTGTGAATGGTGCGGTAATTTGAGACCTAAATAAACACTGATGGCAGTGTCTTATTTCAGTGATATTTATTTAAACAGTATCCAGTTTAATTAATTTTTTTAACTTTCTTTCAGAGGATGGAGAGGGAATACGGATGTCCCTGTGTCATGGGAAAACCTAAAGTTGCGTTTAGAGAGACAATCGCCAAACCAGTACAGTAAGTAACTATTCATTCTGGAATGCTTGCTGTTCTTTTTCATTGACTCCATTCTGAAACATGTCACTGGTTTGATTTTGGCAGGATAACTTCTTTTTCTATTTTTAATCCTTGCGTGGGGTCCCATAAAATATTTATTTCCCAGGTAATAATTTCCTGTAATATGGAGAAAATGTATTTGTTACATGACAAAATTATGTCTCTGTGGCTTCTCTGAAAACGAAGCATTCATTTCAGTACAGTCAGAGAAACACATCTGCAACAGTCAAAATCCACTGATCAGCCAGAACATTAAATTCATTGACAGGTCAAGTGAATTACATTGATTATATTGTTACAATAGCAGCTGTCCAGGGGTGGGATATATCAGGCAGCAAATTAACACTCAGTTCTTGAATTTCATGTGTTGAAAGGAGGAAAAATGGGAAAGTGAAAAGATCTGAGTGACTTTGACAAGAGCTAAATAGTGTTGACTAGATGACTGGGTCAGGGCATCTCCAGTACGGCAAGTTTGTTTGCAGTGGTTAGAACCTACCAAAATTGGTGCAAGGAAGGACTACAGGTGAAGCAGTGTCAGGGTAATGAACACCCGCAGGCTCAATGTTGCATGTGGGCAGCAAAGGCTAGCATGTCTGGTCTGATCACACAGACAAGCTAGTGTAGCTCAAATTGCTAAAACACTGAATGCTGGCAAACTGCGATGCACTATGTCAGAAAACACAGTGCATTGCAGTTTGCTGTGTATGGGACTGCGTAACCGCAGACCAGTCAGAGTGCCAATGCACCTTCAAAGGTGATGTGAGTGTCCGAACTGGAACATTGGGGCAGTAGAAGAAGGTTGCCGGGTCTGATGAATCATGTTTTCTTTTGGATTAGGTGTATGTGCATAGTTTACCTGGGGAACACATGGCAGCAGAATGCACTATGTGAAGAAGGCATTTTATATCCGGTTGCTGGCAGAGGCAGTGTTATGCTCTGGGCTACGTTCTGCTGGGAAACCTTGGGTCCTGGCGTTCACGTGGGTGTTATTTTGACACATACCAGCTACCTAGAGATTGTTGCAGACCATGTATAACCATTCATGGCATTTGTGTTCTCTAAAGACAGTGACCTCTTTCAGCAGGATAATGTACCCTGCCACAGTGCAAAAAATGTTCAGGAATTGTTTGAGGAACATGATCAAGATTTCAAGGTGTTGCCTTGACCTTCAAATATCCCAAATCTCAATCAGATTGAGCATCTGTGGGATGTGCTGAAACAGCAAATTTTATTCATGGAGGCCCCACCCTTAAAGGATCTGCTGCTAATGTCTTGGTTCCAGGTCCACAGGACACATTCAGAGGTCTTGTGGAGTCCATACCTCGAGGCATCAAAACTGTTTTGGCAGCACGAGAGGGACCTACACGATATTTGACAGGTGCTTTTAATGTTGTGGCTTATCAGTGTAGGTGGGAAGTTATGTATCTGTTATATTGACTACAAGCAATAAAACCACTATGTAATATGATAAACCATATGAAATGCACTGAGAAGAGGGGGGGGAATTGTACATTATGGTAATTAAACTGCTTGCAAATGGATAAGCTGTAATACCTGTAAAATTTATATAAAAGAACATGAATCGCTGTATCTGCTTGTGCCTAAATGGTGTGCATTGTGGGATGCTGTACATGTAAGTAGTGTAGCAAGGGGATTCATCCACTCATATCTATTGGTGGCCATCGTGAAGCCAGCTTAAATTCCCCATCAGAATGTGTAAGTTAACGTGAACTATCATACAGGTAGGTTTATAGATTTGAAACATCCTTTGTTGTGTATTAAGTATTACTATCATTCAAGGGCTGCCAAAGCCCTTTAGCTTTTTTTAAATGACCTTATGGCACAGATCATCAAACAAAGATCACATTTATATTTACCTGTGTAACCATTTCATGGATTTGCATTATATAGTGAAATTCCAGATTGTTGTCTTCTCTTTTCTAAATAATACAAACAATAATGTTAAAACCTATACAAAATATAGTTTTATTTTTTATTTTTTTTTAACCATTAAAACAAGCAAATTACTGAAGCTTGGTGTCTGAGGAAGCCTGAGCCATGGCTGCATTCATGCTCAGTCTGTGGCTGAAACAAAAGTTATGAATAGCCCCATTCACAAGACTGCAAATGAGACAGTCCACAAATTCATAGCACAAAACAACTGGGAGGACCAGCACTCCACTGATTAAAGTTTGTGTGCAAAACTCCAAGGTCTCCTTCCAGTTACCTCATACACCGTAGAAAAATAATAAAGTAGTCGCAACACCAAAAGTAAATATCAAAGAGATTTATTCCACCGAAGCTGGCAACGTTTTGACCAAACCTAACCTCAGGGTCTTTGTCAAGCCTAGGTTCCAAACTACAATGTACAGCTTAAATATACAAAATGAATATGCCAACATATTTCTTTTGTATATGCTGTTATTTTTCTTTATTGTGTTTTTTTATTTTATTTGGTATGGCAAGGGTTATGTTTTTTCAGTTCAACGTATGCTCCCCCCATAGAGTGTTACTTGTAATCTGATGGGTATTTAAGCTGTACAACCTAGGCTTGACAAAGACCCACATAGGTGAAAAACATCTTTGATCTTTACTTTATAAATTCATAGTGTCCATGGCATGTGTACATTGACAGTTTTGATACAAATGCATGGAAATAAACAGAAGAAACAAGATCCAGAAGAATACAGTAAACTTTTTCTATCCTTTTCACATTTTCCATCATTTAATACAGTGTGGTGATTTGAATGGAGACTTGCGAGATTTAGGTAAAAATTTGTAACTAAACCTTCAGTTTCACTATTTTGACTTACAATTACACTTAAGTTGTTAGCCCGCTGTATCTCATGGGTTTTTTTTTTTTTGCAGTAAGCCCCTTACTCTTAGGGAAGGAATTCACAAAAAATAAATACAGGCTTAGCTCTTTTAGTCAATGGTAGTGTTATCAGACAGCAGTCTTTTTAAATGTGCTTGCTGTCTCTTTAATAATTTTAATATAAACAGCAAAATACAGACACGTTGATTTCTCAATTATCGTATTTCCTGAGAGGTAGCATGTTGGTGTTGCAAGTTCTAAGTCGGATATTCATTTTGTAAAAAGTCCGTCATAGTTTAGAAATTGCAGTCTGTATTTGTCCACGTAACTCGTAGTAAATGTGGAAAATCTTTTACTGTAGAAACCTAACACTTTCTGGGCTATATTGTGGAGACAAATTGGAGTATGGCTTTATTTTTTGTTACATTAGGTGTGTTTAAATTACCTTGCTCCTTTGAAAACATTCTAATGATAATAATCCTATCCTAGCAGAGTTTAGCACCATAGGGCACTTTGGACATACCAGCTGTTTCACGCTTTTAATTATGGACATCCTGTAGTAGGTGTCTTCTGTGGAGTGTTGCCATTTCACGTGACCACAAGCAACCAATGCCAAGTGCAGGACAGGCTCCATCTCCGGCGACACATTGCCAAATTTATCTAGGATGAAATATTCAGAACATAAAAATACTCAGAATGAGGAGGAGTGTTGGGACATTGTTTGACAATGCAAGTTACACCCAGCTATTCTTGTTAATTACCTGGAATATCTTGTGCATCCAGCGGTTGAGAAATGTTCTTCATTTTTTTGTAAAATGCAATATCCTTGTCTTGCACATAGTTTCCAATCTCACTTTCTAATGTGAAGGACACGTTGGGAGCTTTGTTCTGCTCACGCAGATAGTACAGAACCTCCGCAGTGCATTTTATATCCGGTTGCTAAGGTGACATTGAGTGACAGGAGAAATAATGCTTGAAATCTGTATTAGAATGTACATTCCTACTTCACAGACAGATCACACAACTAAAACTATTTGCTGTGGAAATTGTTATAGATCATACATATAGATGTACTATCTTTTCAATGTCCACAAGAACGTTACTTTATTACTACCTTAAAACACGTTTTTTAAGGTTTTTTTTATTGAATGGGATGATAGACCAATGTAGGAAGATAAAAAATATCCTAACGACCAGATATCTGAGCTTTAATGATATCTCTCCAAAGTAAGAAAATTGTGCAATCCTTATATTGGCAAAGTAACTTACTTGAATACATCTGTTTTCTGCTTTTGATCCAAAGAAGTCTGCAACATATTTTTGCCCACTGGCATGTGAGTTATAGCTCCACATCAAGTGCACTCTAAGCACCAGGACCACTACAGCTTTAATGCAGTAGTTCTCGTGCAAAGAGACTGTCCCTGCAGTCTATCCATTGCTAACACTGTTTTTTTCACTGTGATAGCTGCAGGGAGATGGCAGGCGATAGTCTTTCTGATTGTGCTCAAAGTCCTGGGGAATTAATAGCTTGGTTTGGCCAAGAATAACCTTAATACAACGGTCGCATATCTAAATACAAAATGTAGCACTAGCAAGTGATTGAACAATTAGAAGAGATAAACAGCTATGACATATGGCATTATATTGAGCATTCCAAACTGATTCCACCTACACGGGCAGTCCTTATATGAAATGCTATGCGCATATCCTCCGTGTAAGAGACAACAATCTTATATACGGTAGTTTTCTCGTAGGTCTTGTCAGTAACTGCAGCTTACTAGCAAGACCTAGACCAGGGATAGGTAACCTTCAGCACTCCAGATATTGTGCACTACATCTCCCCTGATGCTTTGCTAGCATTATGGCTGCAAAGGTATTATGGGAAGTGTAGTCCACATCCATCTGTAGTGTGCAATGTTGCCTACCCCTGGCTAAGACACAGTGAGCAAAGGGGTCTGCTTCAGGATTGCCTTGCATCCTTTGGTAAAGTCCATAAGAATGTGCAATTAAATACATAGTTATATAGAAGACACAATAAAATGCTTACTACTTAAGGTCAACCATCCTAAGTGTAACATACAATAGTGATAAAACACTTACCTCATTTAAGAAATCTGCCACGACAAATGAGAGGTAATATTTGTTTCCAACACCTGGAATACTCTGCAATACAGAAGCGTGTACATCATTTACAACAACATGTTTAACCCCTTAAGGACCAAACTTCTGGAATAAAAGGGAATCATGACATGTCACACTTGTCATGTGTCCTTAAGGGGTTAAAAACTGCAATGGAAGTGTGTTTTAACCTATCTTTACAGTCTAGATACATTGCTAGCAAATGCAAAGATTAACTTGTATAGAATGTAAATTTGATAACGCTTGTATCTCTATCACTGTGGCCAGTGTGCACACTCCCTCACTAGCCATTGCTGGATTAAGCAATCTCCATTCTGGCAACGTACAAGCACACACTTGCAGAAGCCTACAGCAATGGACCGCATCCAAACCATTCCAACTCCCCTTTATTTTCTGGTAATTTTGTGAGTACAATGTATTAATTAACTTGAAGTTTTTTTTATTAACATGTTTTTAGATGAGACGTAAAAAAAAATAGTCTGATAATAGGAATCCTAAGCAAAAAGAAGTGCAAACCAACAACTTTTCAAGGCAATAATATAGAAATATCCACCCCCCAACATTATTACATTTCCCAACGCTAAATATAATCATGAATTTCCCATATCTCACCTCATTTCATTCTCAGGCCTTTACATTTTTAGTGTCCCTTCACATCAGGGTTATTCACTAAAGAATTATTAAAAGTGAATTTCAAATGTTAGGACGAAATGGCTAAATTGGAAGAAAAAAAAAAAATCACCACATTTTGGCTGTTTGACCTTTAGTAAATAACCCAGATTCATCTTTGTTTGCAGGATATAACCTTTTTGTTTTGAGTTCACCTTAGGGCAGTGGCTTTGTGTGGAAAGATTACCTTAATGACAGCAAGGCGTGTGGCACAAAATCGTTTAACCCTTTCATGGTTATATACATAACTAATCTTGGGGTTTTGTTTTGTGCAAACTCAACTAGAATGGAAAAACTGACCCAAAATGAGCCGATCTGGAAAAAATTCTCAAACTTAGCCACTACTTTGAATCGAACTGGCAAAGCAGATGCAGATGCAATTTGTGAAAGCCCCCATTTGAGTGCTCCCAGGGATGTATAGGGTTAAAGAGATCCATGTGCTGTATCCCACACTTACCTCCTTGATGGCCTCTGTCACCTGCTTCACTTGAAACAGCCTGTGTGGGCTCCCCAGCTTGTAGTTTATGTAGTTTTCTGCCACACCAGCTGCTCGTGAAGCAGGGTAGTAAGACGGATTGATGGTTTCCATTGTGGTTGGTAATTTAGACCTCTGACATGACACAAAGTAAATGTGTGTTGTGCCCTTATTGATTGTGTTCTGCCCTTCCCTGCAATCATTGAGTTTACATGTAGAGCTGCTGGGAGGAGCTGTAGCTCAGAATCAGGAAGCAATCAGGAGTCGGCCTGTGTGCAAAGCCCTGAGGTCACAGGGAAGAACTGCAGTAGAGCTGTCTGCTGTGCTAAGGAGTGAACTTAGAACCAGAGAACATCCTTGTATAAACACTGGAATCATTATCTTGTAAATTTCCAGTGTTGCCGTTTACGGAGTTATTCAGTGCTTTTTTACAAGTAGCAATTCAATTTTTTTATTTATTTTTATTTTTATTGGCAATTCATATTTTGTAGCAGTCATATGATATCAATCATTATTGAGACATATTTACTTCATCTCTGATGTATCAATGTGAGCTTCTATTTTTATTCCAAAGCTAGTAAGTGCCTCAAGTACCTCTCTTAACCCCTTCATGACGGAGTCAATAGTACACGTTCTGATCAAAACAAAACGTAAACAAAAACTGGTATCTGTGCTATATGTCTGTTCACCCGTAATTCACCTCTTTCATATTAAGTGCACCCACACTTATTAGATATCATTTTGTTCTGGAGAAACAGGGCTTTAATTTATCATTAACTATTCATATATGGAACATCATTTATTATGAATAAAATAAAAACTGTGAGAAATTAAGATTTTTTAAAATAATTTGTAGTTCCGCCTGCCATTTTAACTGTACATATCATAATACTGTTAGCTTTTACTGCAATAAAATGCACATATTTGTATTCAGCGATGTCTCAGGAGTAAAACAGTACCCCCCTATTAACAGGTGTTACAGTGTTTTGGAAGGTTACAGGGTAAAATATAGCATGTTTCATTTTTCAGTTTTTTTCACATTGAAATTTGCCAGATTAATAATGTTACCTTTGAGACCATATGGTAGCCCAGGAATGAGAATTACCCCCATGATGGCATACCATTTGCAAAAGTAGACAACCCAAGGTATTGCAAGTGGGATATGTCCAGTCTTTTTTAGTAGTCACAAACACTGACCAAAGTTAGCGTTCTTTTTTTTTTGTGTGTGTGAAAAAAGCAATAAACAAATATTTGGCCAGTGTTTATAACACTAATCCCGAGTAAAACCGTATGCCCCATGTACAGGTTTTATGGTGTCTTGGAAAGTTACAGGGTTAAAAATAGTGCTTGTGAATTAAAGCGGCACTGTCATGCCGAACTTTCCTCAATCTCTTCCTCTTCTCCCCCTCTCTCAGGATCTTTTATTCTTTTCTTCCTGTCTTCTTTAGTTTTCTTTAAAATCATAAGACAAAGAAGGGACTCTTTGCCTTATGGAGGATTCCTCCGCTTGACCAGCTCTGACCAGCGGAGGAGCAAAGTGTGCTTCATTTCCGCTGGTCAGAGCAATTTTCCCTTACCTTTCCTCTGTGTTCCCACAATTCTTCCTGTCACTTTCCACAAAACTGCCGAATTGCGTTCTAACTGAATGACAACAGTATGTTCGTTTCTTTTAGAACGCAATTCGGCACTTTATTCGGATCAGAATTTCATTCTAATGAATGAAACTCCGATCCTATTCATTGCTGTGGCTGCATCTTGCAGCCGCTTAGTAGATAACTCCCTAATTCCCACGGTATCAGGGAGTTATCTACTAAAAGGCTGAAAGACCTAAATTGGTCTTTCAGCCACATTTACTAATACTGAGTAAAGATTACTTAGTATTAGTAAATTAAATGCCCCTACTCGCTATACCGCGAGTAGGGGCATGTGTAGTAAGCAGTGAGCAGCTTATAGCTGCTCACTGTAAAAAAAAACAAAAAACTAATAAACCCCCCCCATGCCCATGGGGGCCCTAAATAAAGATGGGGGGACCTACTGGCCCCCCCTGGCCCCCACCCCTGAGTGGTGGGCGGTGGCACTAAATAAAGATATGGGGGGGGAACTTCTGTCCCCCCACTGGCCCCCACCCCTGCGCGGTGGGTGGGGGCCCTAATAAAACAATAAGGGGGGACCTACTGTCCTCCCCCCCTGGCCCCCACCCCTGCGCGGTGGGTGGGGGCCCTAATAAAACAATAAGGGGGGGGACCTACTGTCCTCCCCCCCGGCCTCACCCCTGAGCGGTGGGTGGGGGCCCTAATAAAACAATAAGGGGGGGGACCTACTGTCCTCCCCCCCTGACCCCCACCCCTGCGCGGTGGGTGGGGCCCTAATAAAACAATAAGGGGGGGACCTACTGTCCTCCACCCCTGAGCGGTGGGTGGGGGCCCTAAATGAAACACCCCCCCCCAATCAAGGTGACTAGGGGTCCCAAGCCCCTAGTCACCCCCCCACCCAAAAAAAAACTATCTCCTACCTACCCCCCTCACCCTAAAAATAGTGAGGGGGAATAAAATAACTAACCTGTAAAAAAAAATTAAACTTACCATTTGACGTCTTCTTTTTTCTAAAATCTTCTTTCTTCAGCCCCCAAAAAGGCCAAATAAAAATCCATTACACCCGTCGCACTTTAAAAAAAAACAAAAAAAAAACGAGCGCTAAAAAATTATAATCCATGTTCGCCCTTCGAGGGCACGCCACATACTGAGCTCCGCAGGGCGGGTCAAGGCTTATAAAGCCTTGCCCCGCCCTGCAATTAGGCTTAGAACACTCTTATTGGTGGGTTTAAGCCAATCAGAGTTCTCTGAGTCATTTTACACAGCGTGGGAAAATTCAAAAGAACTTTCCCACGCTGTTTAAAATGACTCAGAGCACTCTGATTGGGTGGCTTGAAAGCCACCCAATCAGAGTGTTATGAGTCATTTTACACAGTGTGGGAAAATTCAAAAGAACTTTCCCACACTGTGTAAAATGACTCAGAGCACTCTGATTGGCTTAAACCCACCAATCAGCGTGTTCTAAGTAGGTCCCCCCCCACTTATTGTTTTATTAGGGCCCCCACCCACCGCTCAGGGGTAGGGGCCGGGGGGAGGACAGTAGGTCCCCCCCCTTATTGTTTTATTAGGGCCCCCACCCACCGCGCAGGGGTGGGGGCCAGGGGGGGAGGACAGTAGGTACCCCCCCATATTGTTTTATTGGGGCCCCCACCCACCGCGCAGGGGTGGGGGCCAGGGAGGGAGGACAGTAGGTCCCCCCCCTTATTGTTTTACTGGGGCACCCACCCACCGCTCAGGGGTGGGGGCCAGGGGGGGAGGACAGTAGGTCCCCCCCCTTATTGTTTTACTGGGGCCCCCACCCACCGGCCAGGGGGGGAGGACATTAGGTCCCCCCCCCCTATTGTTTTATTGTTTCAGCCAGGGCCCCTCACCCGGCTGGGGTGGGGGCAGAGGAGGACAGTAGTTCCCCCCCTTATTGTTTTATTGGGGCCCCCACCCACCGCGCAGGGGTGGGGGCCAGGGGGGAGGACAGTAGGTCCACCCCCTTATTGTTTTATTGGGGCCCCCACCCACCGCGCAGGGGTGGGGGCCAGGGGGGGAGGACAGTAGTTCCTCCCCCCCCCTTATTGTTTTATTAGGGCCCCCACCCACCGCGCAGGGGTGGGGGCCGGGGGGGGGACAGAAGTTCCTCCCTTATCTTTATTTAGGGCCCCCACCCACCGCTCAGGGGTGGGGGCCCGGGGGAGGACAGTAGGTCCCCCCCCCTATGGTTTTATTAGGGCCCCCACCCACCGCGCAGGGGTGGGGGCCAGGGGGGGAGGAAGTAGGTCCCCCCCTTATTGTTTTATTAGGGCCCCCACCCACCGCTCAGGGGTGGGGGCCAGGGGGAGAGGACAGTAGGTCCCCCCCCCCTCATTATCTTCATGGCCCCCACCCGCCGCTCAGGGTGGGGGAGGGGGGGAGGACAGTAGGTCCCCCCCTTATTGTTTTATTGGGGCCCCCACCCACCGCGCAGGGGTGGGGGCCAGGGGGGAGGACAGTAGGTCCACCCCCTTATTGTTTTATTGGGGCCCCCACCCACCGCGCAGGGGTGGGGGCCAGGGGGGGAGGACAGTAGTTCCTCCCCCCCCTTATTGTTTTATTAGGGCCCCCACCCACCGCGCAGGGGTGGGGGCCAGGGGGGACAGAAGTTCCCCCCATATCTTTATTTAGGGCCCCCACCCACCGCTCAGGGGTGGGGGCCGGGGGGGAGGACAGTAGGTCCCCCCCCTTATGGTTTTATTAGGGCCCCCACCCACCGCTCAGGGGTGGGGGCCAGGGAGGGGAGGACAGTAGGTCCCCCCCCTTATTGTTTTATTGGGGCCCCCACCCACCGCGCAGGGGTGGGGGCCAGGGTGGGGAGGACAGTAGGTCCCCCCCTTATTGTTTTATTGGGGCCCCCACCCACCGCGCAGGGGTGGGGGCCAGGGGGGAGGACAGTAGGTCCCCCCCTTATTGTTTTACTGGGGCCCCCACCCACCGCTCAGGGGTGGGGGCCGGGGGGGAGGACAGTAGGTCCCCCCCCTTATTGTTTTACTGGGGCCCCCACCCACCGGCCAGGGGGGGAGGACATTAGGTCCCCCCCCCTTATTGTTTTATTAGGGCCCCACCCACCGCTCAGGGGTGGGGGCCGGGGGTGGACAGTAGGTCCCCCCCCCCTTATTATCTTCATGGCCCCCACCCGCCGCTCAGGGTGGGGGAGGGGAGGAGGACAATAGGTCCGCCCCCCCTTATTGTAATTTATGTCTTTTTTTTCAACAGTGAGCAGCCACAGGCTGTGTAGCGAGTAAGGGCATTTGGGAGATTTTAATCTCCCTTGTGCTATTATGGGGGTCATATTGACCCCCATAGAGTGAGAGGGGGTACTGGGGGGGCTTATGAAGTGGTGGGGAGCACTGCTCCCTGCCGCTTCTATAGTTACATATTACAAGGAGGGAGCTGCACGCCGGTAGCTCCCTCCTTGTAATAAACTGAACGAACAAACTAACACTGATACATAGTGTTAGTTTGTTCGGCTGATATTTCTATTCACTCATTCGTCTGTCTGATGAATGAATGAATGAATAGATGAAATTCCCGTTCGCATGTCCAGGTGTTTCACTGGGCATGTGCGGGAATCTCACAGTCTGTCTAGTGTGGGCTGATGACGTGTCCCACAGGGACTTCACCTACCCACACAAAGATGGCGGCGCCCTGAATCAAGATCGGGGCAGAAAATAAGGATTAAAAAATAGGTAATGTGGGGGGCTTAGGGGCATTTGGGGGTGACTAGTGGGTCAATTGGATGTAGTGGAGGCGGGAGGGGGGTTAAAAAAAAACGGGATTCGGCATGACAGTGCCGCTTTAAGCAACTGTTTAATGTATCTCAGTGAGTTTGCTCTGTGCTAATTTTATGCAAAGGATATTTTTTTTCCCTTTTCTTTTTTTTTTCCCTACATCTTTCTAAACTGCTGCAAATTGTTTGCTTGTTTCGTCTGCCCATTATATCACATCCTGGGATTTCCTGTCATTTTATAAACACACACCGGTCTGGAAGACTATAGTGAAAGATTTTTTTTACTGTTTTATTAAGGTTACAATTTTTTTATTTTTTATTTTTTTAAATCTTTCAAGAATTTATTATCGAAATACAGACGTAATGGTTGCTACATCAACATCCAATAACCATACAATTTTATACACTGGCCTGTAGGGCTTAAATAGATATGGAAATCATGCATGTCCGATTCTATTTCACCCAATGGAAAACATAATAGGTTCATGCCCATAATACCAATCAGGGCTATCACTTGCACATTACCAATCCGCTAAACATCAGCGGCTTACTCTCCCTCAATGTAACCTGTGTGCTAATGAGGTATCCTGTATGTGTTTAAGATGTCTGTAATGGAGAGTGCTTCCCTTGATCTTAAAAGGATCCTATAGTGCCAGGAAAACAAACCCATTTTACTGGCACTATAGGCTCTTGGAATGCCCCCCTCCCTTGGCGCTGAAACCGTTAAAACCCCTTCAGCCACTTACCTTAATCCAGCGCCAGGTAAACTCTCCTCCTCCGCCGACGTTGGCTCCCGAGTGGTGCCGAATGCGCATGCGCGGCCAGAGGCGCGCACGCATTCAAACCTGCTCATAGGAAAGCATTACTCAATGGTGTCCTATGTGGATCTTATTTGACGCTGGACTCTGTGAGGACTGTAAATCGCAGGAGCGGCCTCTAGTGGCTGTCAGGGGAGACCGCCACTAGAGGCTGGATTAACCCTGCAATGTAAACATAGCAGTTTCAATCAACTAGAGGAACCTGCCACGCAGACCACTTCATTGAGCTGAAGTGGTCAGGGTGCCTATAAGTGGTCCTTTAAGAACAGCTTGAACTGGAAAAAGGTAATATAATTTATATACAGTCCAAGAACATTGTGCATTATTGAAAAAAGTTAAACCGCTCTGGTCTAATGCAAATTCATATGCTTATTTTTTTTGTATGCACAGGTTTGTCTTTGTCTCTGGAAAGGAGTGACTGTGCCAGCATCTCATCCCGTTTCTTAGCCATGGTCCAAACACCTGCTGTCAGGTCTGTATTTGGGCATGCTTTCCTCTGGGTACACCCTTATAGCATAGCTGTTCATTTACACACAAAAAAATACTTCTCCTTAACAAAATTTTGATGCTTTTGTTTGTTGTTGTTTTGTTTTTTTTGGCTATGCATTTTTCAAGATTTTTTTAATACTCTGTAATAATTTTAAAGGAGCATTTGTGGAACCAAATAATTAAGGCATTTGGTGTATTACTTATGCGCCTGTAATCTAACTGCTCAATTATCTGCCACTGGGGAGTTATTATCGCAATTTATCTTGCGCCAACAAATTCTGTAGCGCTTTACAATGTTATGAGGGGGGATTTAACTATAAATAGGACAATTACAAGAAAACTTACAGGAACGACAGGTTAAAGAGAACCCTGCTCAAACAAGCTTACAGTCTATAGGAGGTGGGGTAGGAAATAGCAATCAAATAAGGTGGGACTGAAGCAGAGCTGGAGGAGAGAGTAAAGTGCTGCCCTTTAGGAGAGAGCAAGAGACAGGTATGTGAGGTAGAGGTTACTCTGGGAGGCCATAAGCTTTCCTAAAGAGATGGGTTTTAAGGCACTTCTTGAACTATTGAAGACTAGGGGAGAGTCTGATGGTGGTAGGCAGACTATTCCATAGGAAGGGAGCCACCCGCGAGAAGTCCTGCAAACGTTAGTTGGCCATATGGGGGCGAGCAGCGGATAGGAGGTGGTCACGGGCAGAGTGGAGAGACCGAGAAGTAGCATACCTATGGATCTGTGAAGAGATATGAGGGGCTAGAATTGTTCAGTGCTCTATAGATATGGATTAGCACTTTGAATTGACTCCTATAGGATACAAGAAACTAATGTAAGGACTGACAGAGGGGTGAGGTTTGAGAGGACAGAGTAGAGAGGAAAATCAGTCTGGCAACGGCATTTGGAGAGGGTTACAATGCGGGAAATTACTAGAGCATGGACAAGCTCCTTGGTAGCATCTTGCGTAAGAAAGGGCCGAATGTGGGCTATGTTTTTAAGATGGAATCTACAGAATTTGGCAACATACTGGATATGTAGCTCAAAGGTGAGGCCAGAGTCACGTATGGACTTATGTGGATACCACTAACTTGAAGGGAAAGTGAAAGAGGAAGGTCAGTATTAGGAAGAGGAAAGGCAAAAAGCTCAGTTTTAGAGAAATTGAGTTTCAGAAAGCGGAAGAACATCCAGTCAGAGGTGGAAGAAAGGCAAGCATTGACATGTTGGGAGTTGAATCACTTTTGTTACTGTTTATGCAGCCCTAGGCACACGTGTCCTGGCTTGACTCACACAGCCTCCATGAAAAGAAGATATAATTTTTAATTAGACCAGAATGCTTTCCTTGATCAACAGGAAGTTGTCTCCTACTCTGTTAAATGAACTTTATTCACACACAGGGTGCTAGAAACTAATTATCTGTTGCTATATGTGTGTTCTCCTACAGTGATGGTGTGTCCTACACATTAACAAAATCGAATGGTGTGCTCAGCTCAGACACTGCATTTCAGGCCTTAAAAATGGATATGACCAGTCCTTTAGTCCACAATATAGATATGATGGATCAGGAAGCTACTAGCCCTCAAAAGTCTGTTTACAGCCAGCGGAAAAGAAAGCAACCCACGGAAAGTAACAAGATGGGCAGAGTGGGACTGTGTTTTTCTCCAATTTTATCAAATATACGAAAAACCCAATCGGTGCATGATCTTGTACATGAAGGTGAGTCTGAGACTTTATGAACTGTGTTACTTTAGGATTTACTAGTAATACATTTTTCACCACTTTGCAGACACCTATTCTTCTCACACCTTCAAGTATGTGTAGCTGTGGCCTCAAGATGAAGTGCCCTGGGTGACGTTAGTGGTCCTTAATGAGATATTGTCCCTTTTTCTTTGTGAATACATTATGACATAATATGTTTGGACTCTTATAATTGTTGCAATAGAGAGATTTGTAGAGCGCCACTTAGTGATGCCCAAATGATGTGGTTTACAACAGGGTAATAGTAATAAAACTAACTAATTTAACATGGAGATGATAAGGTTTCCATTGCCTTAATGATTTGTTCAAAGCAGGAAGGGGTAGATTATAGTCACAATAATTAAATAATATTATATCTACAGCTTGCACATTTGCCATGATGAAGTGATGGTGTTTTATTTTATCTTATTCTTATGCGCATCATTTCTATGTAAATATATAAAACGTTTGCATTTAGACTCTATGTGGGCAGATAGGACTTAAGACAGTAATGCTGAATAATTGAAGGGCAAGAATGAAGACAGATTTCAGTAGTGCAGTTATTTATTTAATTTATTAGATATTTTTTTTAATGTTGCTTATCTGCCTCATTGTTTTCCGTTTTCCACACACAATTAAATCATACAAAACTGAGTTTGACATATTTTTTATTATTTAACATAAATCTGAATCCGGTAAGGTCAGGGTTTTTTATTTCTTTTGTAGGTGATAAATCCTTAAACAATGGATGTGCCGTCAAACTGCGTCCTCAAACTCAGACAGCTGCAGAAAAGGAGCAAAAGGCCAATCACCGCCGTACCTTGCCTGCTACACTTGGGAAAGTTGAATATGGTCAGCTAGGGGCATTCCAAGGAAAGGACATGAAACCATCTAAAGGCCGGTCCTACATGAGTCCAACAACTAGCTCCATTGCCAAAATAACTCGGAGTGTATCTATGGGGGAAAATTTAAATATTGGAAATGCTCATGAACCATCTGAAGGAAAGAGCAACTTGGAACCAGAGGGAGGAAATCTTCCTATCCCATTAGAGTCTGAAAAGAACCGACAGTTGTTGAAGGAAAACGTTGTAAAACCTGTTTTGCAGCCTGTTGCAAACTGCTTGCCAAAGACTTTTCAGGCAAAAAATCGGGCACATTTGACACTAGACATTGGAAAATCATTGCCTGATCGACCTTTACTTTCATTTGGTAGAAACAGAGGCTCATTTGAAGTGGAATCACCCAAATCTCCAGCAGGAAGCTGGAAAACAAGACTCTCCTTCCCAGACCAAACATACAGGAGCAGTGTTCAAGATTTTGCAGGGTTTGAAAATCATAGCCCTTTGGAGGATTCTGGTTATAAAAAATGTAGTGAAGAGGAGGACATTCTCCTCTCCAGACTTTGTGAACCTCAGGAAAGAGTGAACTTAGATGCTGAAAACTTGAAACCCTTTCAGAGAGTTAGATCATCTACTATTGGTCACACTTCAGATTACCATTCAGGACTCTATCCTGTAGAGCCCATCAGACCAAGGTCTCCCTCACTCAGTGCAGCATCAGCATTGGACTCAGGTGGGCACAGAGGTCCACCTTTGGTGGTATCTACTTTTCTGTCTTATATCTGTTTGAGTCCCCTCACTATTCCATCTCCTCTTTCTTCGTCCAGCCTTTGTCCTGTCTCATCTTGTCCACGCCTGTCTCGTTTCATAAACCACCCCCAGAATGGTGAGGCACTTGTTTTTAGTCTTTTCTTTGGATTTGCTTTTTCATTTTTTCTGATTTGTTATTCCCAGCACCACTTGTTGTGGAAGTGTGACATAGCTTATATTCTAAAGCCATGTGAATAACTATTCTTTCACAAAATATAGACAAAGTACATACTTGATCATAAATGAGCCAAACATTAAAAAAAAATGCACTTAAAGGGTTACTCCAAACACCATGACCACTTCAGTGATTTGAAGCTTTCTACAATGGATATGCAGAAGGGCAATTTGAAATGACATAAACATAAGTTAAATTGTAGACAACTCTTGTCTGCTGTTTACTGCAAATTTCAATTTCAATTTTTTTTTAGTTTAGGTGCTCTCATTTATGCGCATATTAAACATACTATTCCAACTCCTTGTTTTTTTTGTTTTGTTTTTAAATTGTTTTGGATCTCCCATCAGAGTGGTTTCAAATGTTTTCGGGCCATTAGCAATTTTATTTAACCCCTTAAGGACACATGACCTGTCACGATTCCCTTTTATTCCAGAAGTTTGGTCCTTAAGAGGTTAAAGGAAATCTATAGTGTCAGGAATACAAATGCTGCCCACGCTCTGCTTCCTTGACTGAGATCATCAAACTTGATGATCTTAGCCAATCCAATGCTTTTCCATTGGGAGGCATGTGTGACAAAACGCCACTCTGTGCCAATCAGCATCTCCTTATAGAGTGCATTGACTCTAAGTTCAGAGTCTCCATGCAGCACTAAACTAGGAAGCACCTCTAGTGGCTGTCTGAGTGACTACAACTAGAGGTGTCCTTAGGCATTATATTAAAATGCCTGCAAGGACATACTATACCCACCAGAGCATCTACATTAAGCTGTAGTTATTCTGGTGACTATAGTGTCCCTTTAAATGAACACTCCAAGCATCATAACCACTACATTTTCCTGCAATAGTTATGCTGCTAGGAGTGCCCCAGGTTTGACTTCTTACCTATTTTTTGCCCACTTTACTAATGATGACGGAGAGCCAGTTACTCCCAAGCTAAGCAAAGCCCCGCTAATATCTCTTTGACGATGACCTAAGCCCTAATGTGCGTTGAGTGCTTTTCAAACCATTGATATGTTTAAGGGTTTTATACATTTATTATTTATTTTATAAAGTTTAGACCTGTGACTTTTTTATGGTGAGAAAATTCAGTTTAGACAAAAATGTTTCAGGGCGCGCTAATTTGAACCAAATGTCGGTTCAGCTCGGTTGAATTTTGGTACTGAAAAACTGATTCGGTAATGTCAAACAAATATTTTGAAGTACTCTGATAGGTGCATTTTTTTCTCCCTTCGGTTCACAGTTCAAGTGAGAAAAAGTAGCAATAGTGGGAAAAATAGAAAAAAAGAAGTAAAAAGCAGTAAAAAGAAAATCATTATTTATATATTAAATATATAGGTACAGATTATTTATATGTTTTCTGCTTCTTTTTTTCTTCTATTAGTCATGTGTCACTTGATCTGTGATTAAAATTAACATTTCAAAAGAAAAAATGATTATAAATAGGATGGCACAAATGAGAGAAGGATCTTAGTACATGCAGCAACCAACAAAAGCAAATCCTGGTAAAACGATTTGAACATAAAATAACTTACAGTAGTGATGGTGCGCAACAACAACAACAACAAAAAATCGTATTCACTATGGACCTCTTATAGAGAGTGAAAGTAACCCTGTGTACATGAAATGAGGTGTTTATAGAGTGGAAATATTATAAATAATTTAAAACCAAACAGTGGTTGTGGTAAAACAAATCACCATCTGTAGGTATACTTGCAAACATGGAAATCACTCTGATACCTATTAAGGAGACAAAAACAAAAAGAGAGCTCCTAGTGCAGCATAGTAATTAACTTATAAATATATAAAATAATGCAAACAGAGGTGCCCTTTAGATGTTACACTCACAAGATTGGAGTGGTAAAAGAACCACTCGTTGCTATAGCACTCAGGGAGGATCAGCCCCTAGAGTGTGTGGGATCCGTGGAAAGGAAGCTTGCAATCCGGATCTCAGGTAAGTATACTTTATTAATAATAATTTAAAAATAGCAAAACTTCTTGTGGAGTTAGTTAGTCCGCTCACCAGCCTCAGGAATCCGCAAAGAAAGTTCCATATACTCATGTAATGTAAAAAAATCTTCTGGCTGCTATCCTGGCTGCTGTTGCCGACTGTCTCCAAATCACTTCCTGGTTCCGGGTCCGTAATGCATTTCGCCCCACCCACAGGGCTTTGTCAAACGGCTGATGCTTCCTCCCACTATCCTGTGTCTTATATACACCAGCCCATGTTACCAACCATTTTAAAATCAATACAAACTTTCTCATCAACATTTCAGAGTCCAAAATAAGTCTCTTATTAGTAGCACTGCTGATCCCAGTGCCAACTGATAGAAATGGGGTCTCAGATATTTACAACTATGAATATATATATATATAAAAAAAAATTAAAACGTGGAACAAAAACACATATTTCTGTGGGCAATAAGAAACCCTACAAAAACTTATTTTACTCAATTAGCATTATGAATTTAAGTAACTATATACACATTTAAAATTCTAAATAAAAAAGACAATTTCTTTTCTTAAAGTGGCAGCACACATTCTCATAATACTACTAAAAATCCATCTAAAACCTAATTAGGGAACAAAAAAGAGGAGGAAAACAGAAAAAGGGGAAAGAGACAGGACCGATAGTTCCGATAGGGATTAATAATATCTCCTCACACATCCTAACAAACAGTGAGATAATGGTCCTTAATAAGGGTCTTAAGTTTGCACCTATGCGGCACTTTAATCCATTTTCTGCATACATTGATCTGATGAAATATGGCCGGAGATTGGCTATTAAAAAGTTTTTTTTTTAAATACAAATTTTATTACAGAACAAAAGATTGATGAAGTAGATAGTTTTAAACATACAAATTTTCATAATAAATCAAATTTTAACCCTAGTCACCTCAAACATGGCAGCATTGAGGCATTTGAGAAGGCAGTTTTTAATGATTTTAAGAAACTGGAAAAAAGGAATAAGAATTGGAACCTTACACATGGTGAAATGGCAGCCCTTAGAGGTCTGAGAGAAAATGATCACATTGTCATCAAGCCCGCAGATACAGGCGGTAGCTTGGTGATAATGGACACTGAGAAATATTTGGCTGAATGTGCACGCCAATTAGAGGATACTGAGGTTTATACAAAACTCAATGGAGATCCGTTGGGGAAGATGAGAAGATCCTTAACAGCACTTTTGGATAGAGGTAAACTGGCGTGTATCCTGAAACAAAAGGAATATGAATTTTTGAATGTTGAATCACCAAGGACCCCAGTTTTTTACATTCTACCAAAGGTGCATAAGGATTTCCACAACCCACCAGGAAGACCGATTGTCTCGGGGATTGGCTCTATCTCGAACAATTTATCGAAATATATTGATTCCTTTCTTCAACCAGTGGTTTTTAAAACTAAGTCCTTTCTGAAAGATACAACAGACATCCTGAGGATGCTGAGAGACTTAGAATGGAAGGAGGGATATTGCCTGGTAACCTATGATGTTACTTCTCTATACACATGTATACCACATGATATACGATGTGCAGCAGTCAAGTATTTCTTAGAACAAAATCAGACACACTTACCTGCACAAATTGATTTCTTAGTAGAATGTATTAGATGGACTCTGAATAACAATTACTTCTGGTTTGACTCTAACTTTTATTTACAGATTAGAGGGACGGCGATAGGTAGCACTTACGCACGCACCCAGCTATGCGGATATTTGTATGGCCCACTGGGAGAATTATTTTATTTATAATGAACATAGCTGGACTGCGCGGGTGCGGGCATATCACCGTTATATTGATAATATGATTTTCATATGGGAAGGCACAGAAGACCAACCTTTTAGAGATTTTTTAGAATACCTAAATAATAATACTTGGGGTATACGCCTTACAAGTAATATCAGCACTTTATGTATTGACTTTTTAGATCTCAAGATATACATAGAAAATGGGGTCCTGAAAACACAGCCTTTTTTTAAAAAAGTTGATGTGAATGGCTATGTTTTATATCACAGTGGGTACTATTCACCATGGCTTAACAACATACCCAAGGGCCAACTACTTAGGTTGAAACGGAACTGTACAGAGGAAAAAGTGTTTGATCAGCAGGCTGAAGACCTTTTTAAGAAATTTAGGGAAAAATCCTATCCACAAGATCTCCTAAAAAAAAGCTTTTAATGAGGTGAAACCAATTGCACAAATAGATCTAATTCAAAAAGAAAAAGTGAAAAATATGAAACAGGAAAGATTTAATGAAGTGTTAGTCTTTGATTTTAATAATCAGCATAAATATTTGAAAAAAAATATCAACAGATTCTGGCCAATATTAAAAACAGACAAAGACTTAAGTGGGCTACTCCCGTCCAAACCCAAAATTACGTTTAGGGGGGCTCAGAGTTTAAGAAGCAATCTTGTACATAGTTACTTGAGAGAAAAACCTAAGAGAGTAATGGCGAATTTCCTAGGACACTCCATTGGTTTCTACAGATGCAAGATGTGTCTTGTCTGTAGGAATATGGGGAATATCAAAGAGAGCAAAGTGGAAAAATTTAGATCAGAGAGAACGCAAAGAGAATTCAAAATTAAAGAGCACATTACTTGTCACAGCAATAATGTGATCTATTTGTTGAAATGTCCATGTAGACTGGAGTATGTGGGAAGGACGACCCGTCCACTCCACATAAGGATAAGAGAACATATTTATAACATTAGAAAAGGATTAGAAAGTCATAGTGTCTCAGAACATTTTAAGAAAGTACATGGACAGGATCCACGGGGACTAGAGTTCATAGGTATTAAGAAGGTACAGCGGGACTGGAGGGGAGGTGATTTTATTCGTAAGATCGGACAGGAAGAGATGAGATGGATCTTTCAAATGGAAACACTAACTCCGTCCGATCTTAACAAAGATTTTGAACTTTGTAATTTTCTGTAGTATTTTGTGATCTTAAATTGTATTTATATTTTTATGTAGTATATATTTTTTACTTTTTTACTGACTGCTACATCATGAACATATTTATTTATATTCGCAATGCTAATTAAACAAAAATATTTTTGGGGAATTTCTTATTACATATAGAAATATGTGCAAAATTTGGTTTAGGCAACATACCCCCTTTTTTCAAGTTTTAAGTATTTTCAAAAGTAGTTGTTTCTTTTTCTCTTTTTTGCTAAAACAAATGAGCTGCCATGAAATAAGTTTCAAAGTGCTAAATACCCCCACTTATGTAGGGGTGTATATGTTTTTTGTTCCCTAATTAGGTTTTTAGATGGATTTTTAGTAGTATTATGAGAATGTGTGCTGCCACTTTAAGAAAAGAAATTGTCTTTTTTATTTAGAATTTTAAATGTGTATATAGTTACTTAAATTCATAATGCTAATTGAGTAAAATAAGTTTTTGTAGGGTTTCTTATTGCCCACAGAAATATGTGTTTTTGTTCCACGTTTTAATTTTTTTTTATATATATATATATTCATAGTTGTAAATATCTGAGACCCCATTTCTATCAGTTGGCACTGGGATCAGCAGTGCTACTAATAAGAGACTTATTTTGGACTCTGAAATGTTGATGAGAAAGTTTGTATTGATTTTAAAATGGTTGGTAACATGGGCTGGTGTATATAAGACACAGGATAGTGGGAGGAAGCATCAGCCGTTTGACAAAGCCCTGTGGGTGGGGCGAAATGCATTACGGACCCGGAACCAGGAAGTGATTTGGAGACAGTCGGCAACAGCAGCCAGGATAGCAGCCAGAAGATTTTTTTACATTACATGAGTATATGGAACTTTCTTTGCGGTTTCCTGAGGCTGGTGAGCGGACTAACTAACTCCACAAGAAGTTTTGCTGTTTTTTAATTATTATTATTAATAAAGTATACTTACCTGAGATCCGGATTGCAAGCTTCCTTTCCACGGATCCCACGCACTCTAGGGGCTGATCCTCCCTGAGTGCTATAGCAACGAGTGGTGCTTTTACCACTCCAATCTTGTGAGTGTAACATCTAAAGGGCACCTCTGTTTGCATTATTTTATATATTTATAAGTTAATTACTATGCTGCACTAGGAGCTCTCTTTTTGTTTTTGTCTCCTTAATAGGTATCAGAGTGATTTCCATGTTTGCAAGTATACCTACAGATGGTGATTTGTTTTACCACAACCACTGTTTGGTTTTAAAATATTTATAATATTTCCATTCTATAAACACCTCATTTCATGTACACAGGGTTACTTTCACTCTCTATAAGAGGTCCATAGTGAATACGAATTTTGTTGTTGTTGTTGTTACGCACCTTCACTACTGTAAGTTAAAATTAACATTTAGTGACATCTAGCTGTCTATCATATTTTTGTTCAGGTGGAATTCAGAATTACGAAACAATCATGCTCAGACTTTGCACGTTTTGGTTGGTTCCTGATTTGGGTATATTTCAGATCAGGAATTCAACTGATCACCCGATCTGCCCAAATTCGGATGAGTTGGATGAGTTGAGCCCAGAACAAATCTCTAAGTCTAGAATTCACCCACAAAACGTCTATGATAGCCTATTTGCCTGATAAAACACATGGTTTTCAGATCTACATGTGTATTATTATTGGAAGAGTCATATAAAAATGTACAATTGGTAGTTTGTTTTTTTTAAGAGTTACTACAATCTCCATGACTACTTCTGTTTTTAGTAGTGTTCATAGAGCAAGCAATCTATATGTGCAGCATTTCAGTTTGAAAAGTTGCCTATACAGTGTAATCTGTTTTGTGCTGCAGTCCAGTTGCAAAAAGACATCAATTGCCATGCACTGCGCGCTGGCAACCTTTGTAATGGGCTTCTACCCTTGCAGCCAGCGCTGTGTGCGCACCTAAAAGGAGACGCCTGTATGTCCATTCATTCCCTCTTGCCATCCGTCTTAGGCCTTCCTGCCTCCCTACATAGGGAGCAAAGGTTTCTTGATAAGAAGCATTTGATTGGACATCAAAGAGGGAAACAGCGATGTGGCGTGGAAAGCATCGAGGAGAACTTCACATGGTGCTGGACTTCAGGTAAGTTAAATCTTATTTTGCAGGATTTTTCATTCAAAATGAGGAAGGAAGGACCAAGTTACTACTGCCCAATAGGGCATTTTAAATTGAATAAAACAAATAGCGAAAAACAGTTGGAGAAACCTTCTAAAGCCCCATCTCAGCGGCATATTCTGCTTCCCTTTGTTTAGCCCTCTGTGTGTTCATGTGAAGCCCTGATATAGATTTTACAAGCTTCTATAGAACATCATAAACACAATACTGTGTCATTTATTTGCATAAATCTGATTATATATCCATTAATCATACTTCTGGCCTGTTGTGTTTCAGTAGGACCAATCAGCTTTGAACAGTGTGAAATGATTGCATCAGAGCTGCAGGACAGCCTCCGCAAGGCAATGTGTTTGTACAGATCGGTGAGTGAACCAGCTTCTTAAAGGGACACTCTGAATCTCAACAGCATCTTAGCTTACTGAAATTTTGTGAAGTGTCCTTTTTTTCCAATTTACAAAACAAGCAGATTTCAATAGAAGTTGAACAGGTGATATGACTGGTGACATGTAACGGTCTTCTCTTTCTCCACCATGTCACTATTACCCATTTTTTACTATGTCAAAAATTACATTACTGGAATTGTTATTTCTCCCTCAATATTATAGTGGGGGTCTGTGCACCACTTGGGACTTTACCCTAGATCAGCACCGCCCTCTGTGGGAACAAACTATAGTGGTTATTGTACAGAGAGTCTTGGGTGCTGCCACTCCTGGTTTGTGTCAAAATGCTCTCAGTGCTCAGTGCCCCAATGCTCTCAGTGCTATCATTGCTATCCAAAGCTTGTTCGCTGTGGCTTGGCAAGCACAGAAGTGGAGAGGCAAAGCCTTTGGGGACCAGAAAAATCCCATTCTTGTTAAACTAGTAAAATGTGATTCCAAGGGGCAGCTCTCAAAGATGCTACACCATAACCACTACCACCAGCTTTAGTAGTTAAGGTGCTTAAAGAAACTCCAGTCCACTAAACCACTGAAGGTGAGTGAATGTTGTTTTAATAATGAAATGGGATGCTCTAGATCAAGCATGTCAAACTCAAAGTCTGGATCGTGCTATATAAACAAGGTTCAAGCTTATGTGGGCCGCAAAAAAAAAGAAAAAAAAATATTGTAAATTTTCATAAAAAAGGAAGGCTTATTTTAAAAAGTACAGTATAAAAAATCCTCCAGCATCCCCCTCTTCTAAACTACAGCACCCCCTCTACTAAATCCCAGCCACCCCTCACACATATTCACTCACTGACAGACACACAAATACACACACACTGACACACACACTGACAGACACACCCAAATACTCACTGACAGACACACACATACTTGCTGACAGACACACGCTCACATACACACATACTTAGACACACACACTGACAGACACACACATACTCAGACAGATATACACACACATATTCACAGGCACACACGCATACTAACAGACAGACACACACACACACATAAACATACTCACTGACAGACACACACATACTTGCTGACACACACACACACACTCACTGACAGACACACACACATACTCACAGACACACACACATACTCACTGACAGACACACACACATACTCACTATCAGACACACACACACACACTCACTGACAGACACACACTCATTGACCGACAGACACATACTTGCTAACACACACATACTCACAGACAGACAGACACACACACATTCTTGCACACACCTTATGGAGCCGATGTGGGGCATTTCCCTGGGGTCTTCCTGCCCCCTCGCGCGGTTTAGTGCTGCCGGGTGCCGGAATATGACGTCATATTCCGGGTGCCCGGCTTTACTTCAGATGATGCACGCGAGGGAGCAGTGAGAAGCAGGAACACTGATCTCCCTCGCTGGCCCTCCTCCCCGTCCGGGTAAATGAGCAGAGTAGGCACCTGCAATGTGGGGAAAGCAGGTGCCTACCCTGCTATAACACCAGCATGTACTTGCGGCTCGCTGGGCCGCAAAGATGGTCCTTGTGGGCCGTGAGTTTGACATGCTTGCTCTAGAACTAAAACTAAAAATGAACACTCCTGACTGATAGACAGCCTGTAGATGTAACCAAGGACTTGCATAAAATCTTTTATTTTTTTTTTGTGCCAACACTTTTATAAAATAAGAAATAAATCAAGGCGACCTTCAGTTAAAAACTAAAGCACTTCAGCAAGATGAAGTGCCTTAAGGGACTATAAAGCCTCTTCAAGTAAAATTGATTCAACATGAATAAACTGACATTAAATAAGATGCTTTGGTAAAGTAATTGGTAAAAAAAAAAAAATTCATTTTCTCCTACACAAAATCAATGTTCTAAATGGAAAGAGAAATGTTTAAACTAAATGCGTGTGTGACTGATCATTATTTTGCCAAACCATAAAACCACATGTTATCTGCCTTAGGTGACCACAGCTGCTCCTTCAACAAATTTAGACCGTAACAAGATTGCTGGCCTCCTGATAGAAACATTTGGCATTGTTAAGAGGGAGCTGGATTCCTTGAAAGACGGCGAGAGTCAGTCAGTCATTGTAGAGAAGCTATCCCCTCAAGTGACTGAGGTGACAACTGAAACAAGTGAAGTTCCAGTAGATGAAGGCTCTTCAGTAACATCTGGTGGCAGGCGACTTGGTGATGATAAGACTCTTGCTCTGCTGCAGCAGTACTCTGAACTTTTACTGCAAGCAGTGGAGAAAAGGATGGACAAAAAACTCTAATAAATTGATACATAAATCCCCAGCTGTTTGTTGTGAATGGCAAATAATCACTCCATGGGCTGTTAGTTAATAGCAGTCTTCAATGTGAGCGAAGATAAAAGCAGATATGATTTTTCTAAATTTGTTACAGCAAACCAGCAGCACTTGTCTCAAAAACTGGCCCCATTTTGGTCAGGGCCAATGATTACTGTTCTGTTTCTGCTTTCTTTTTATTTGCAGATGCACAGAACATTTTTTTTATTATTATAATTATTCATTAACAAAACTTTTCTAAAGTGTTTTTATTTGTTGTGATTATATTTTTAAGTTATTGAATTGGATTTTATGTGTTTGTTTTGCGATCTTAGTTTTTGCTCTTGTGAGGGACAGTTCAGCAATATGTCAGTTGGGTGCTTCAATCTTTTTTACTGGTTCCTAGGTCACGCTGGTAGAAAGAGGCTTAAGACAACAGTCAGTTTATTGAACGTTGGCGTTTGCTTTCAGTTTACATGGTAAGCTTTGTATTATTGCTGCTTTGGCCATGTTTTATACATATACATATATATATTGGGCACTTTTGGTCCCTCCTACTCCCTGTCTGATGTTCTTTCATTCAGATTTAATGTGTTGATGGCAGGAGAGAAAGCTAAATGGTTTGTTGTCTTTGATCCTTGAGGGATTCACACCTTCCCCATTACCAAGACAATAAAGTCATATTAAGGCCGAATGGATTCTCAGTGTATTTGCTCTGCATACATTTGATAACCCCTTCCCCCAACCCCCATGCACTGAAAATGTTAACCAGCATGCACAATCTTATAATCCACATCCAATTTGGTTCTTTTTTTTGCATCCATTGTTTTGCATGCTATATTAAGGTCATTCAGTCTGTTACTGTATATTCCCAGGCCTTAAATCTCCATCACTTCCTCTTATTACAGAAACTCCTCAAAAGGTCTGCATTACTACTCCGCAAATGACCATCATCTCGTTTGCACATATTCTGCTTACTACATCTGACCTATATAAACACCATGAAAAACTCAGCAGCACTACACCTGATTTTGACATCTTTTCATCCCTCAACCCAAAGGTTCTTAATTCCCCAAAATTGGATGTTTCTATTGCTTCTTCCAAATATCTGCTTTAGAATGCTTTTGTGTCTTATTCAAAGCTTTGGTTGTTGTCTGTTTATCATATCTGTGATTTAATATAATTTTGTAAAAGTACCCCAGTATACTTTTTTTTTTTTAATTATGTTTAACTTTTGTGAAATCTGAGATGAAACATTAAAAATAGTTCATTTTGTAAATAATGAAAGTTGAGTCCTACTATCCCTAGTAGCACCTTGTTCTATCTGTGGTGCAAAAAAAATGATATTTATACTTTGTTTTCTTTCTCCTATCCAACTTTACCAATTTTGTTAAATTATGTATGGAATACACATGCAATAGGAGAACGGTTTATGAAATAAGCAGGGAAGAGAAGAAATGTAACAATGTTTCGATTTACTCTCTTTACTTGCAATGTTTGCCCTGTCTTTGCCTTGTCTAAACTGTATTATGATGTTACTTGCTAAATATTTTAAATAAATGTAAACGAAAATGGAGCATCTTAAGGGGAGAAAAAAAGGTTAACACAAGTAAGATAAGATTTTTCAGTGTTTTATTCAATAAAGTGTTTTTCAGATAAGTAACCGTTCCATTTTTAAAAGAAAAACACCCTGGTCTGGGATCTACCATTTTAGTGTTAGAGATGCTCAGCTTTGCACACAATCCAGGCACTCCAAACACCGTTGTGAATGCAGATTTGTAGGTCAGGTAGAATGTTTGTTTTTGTGTGACCCTAAATTACCCTTTGTTGAGCTACTGCAATGGTATTTTTTTCTTCATTTCAAGCTGCTATAAGAAAAAAAAAGCTATATACATCCTGTCTTTCTTCCCTAAACTAAAATAACTACCATGTTTGGAAAAGAAATAATGCAAAGTTCTTTCTTAACCTTAAAGGGACACTATAGACAGCCAGACCACTTCAGCTAACTGAAGTGGTCTGGGAACAGTGTCCCTATTGCACTTAGTGCTGCAATGTAAAACATTGCAGTTCCAGATAAACTGCAATGTTTACATTGCAGCACTAAGTCACGTCCAGTGGTTGTCTACCAGACAGCTACTGGATGCGCTTCCTGGCTGCTAAAGGACTTTTGGTCTGGTAACGGACGCTGGACGTCCTCACACACTGCATGAGGACATCCAATGTTTGCTATTTCCCATAGGAAAGCATGGATCTAATTGATTTAACGATTTCCTATAGGGAGATCAAATGCACGCATGCGCATTAACGTCCGCTTGTCACAGGATGTCGGAGGAGGTTGAGAAGCGATCCAGCTCTGAGGGATGTTGGTGGGGGGGAGTTGCCAGAGGGGGAGGAGGTAGAGAGAGCTATTATAGTATAGTATCCCAAAAATATTTATTTTCCAAGGCAAAAATGTTCATTTAATGCTATAGACTAAGATTTACTATTTGTAATGTTAAGTTAAAAGCAATGATGGTTTGTGCATGTTTGTGCTTTGTGGCTTCATCTGGCACAAATTATCATTAAACATACCTGATTCTTACAAATGTTAATTAAATAGAAACATGCAGGTGTGGTTTTGAATACTAATATTTCCTTAACTTTCATCAACTATTGCCTTGTCCCCTTAACTTGTGAGGTAAAGACACCTTGCAAGTTAAATGAACATTGTTTATAAGTAGATGTACCTATTTTATAATATTTCTTAAATTAAAATTCTTTGTACAACCTTTAGAAGGGGTTAAGGGTTTGCAGACCTCTTTTGATGATTGGTTGTGGTTCAAAACTGCTCTGCTTTCAGGCAGAGGTGAGGGAATTGGAATGGTAATGAATGTGAATTTTTAAACCCTAAAATACTATTCCATTGTTTTAAAGCAGTTTAATGGGACACTATAGTCACCAAAACAACTTTAACTTAATGAAGCAGTTTTTTTGGTATAGATCATGTCCCTGCAGTCTCACTGCTCAATTCTCTGCCATTTAGGAGTTAAATCACTTTGTTTATGCGGCTCTAGTCACACCTCCCGGCATGTGACTTGCACAGCCTTCCTAAACACAGCCTGTAAAGAGTCATCTAAAGTTTATCCTTCCTTTATTACAAGTTATGTTTAATTTAGATTTTCTTATCCCCTGCTATGTTAATAGCTTGCTAGACCTTGCAAGTGATTAAAGTTCAATTTACAGAGAAAGAGATACAATTGTTTAAGGTAAATTATATATATATTTATATTTGAAAGTGAAATCAGGTTTTTTTTTTGTTTTGTTTTTTCATGCAGGGTCAGTCAGAGTCAGGGGAGGTGTGACAGGGGCTGCATAAACAGAAACAAAGTGATTTAACTCCTAAATGGCAGTGAAACATGAGAAGCATGATCTATACACTAATACTGCTTTATTAAGCTAAAGTTGTTTAGGTGACTATAGTGTTCCTCTAAAGCATGTATTACTCTTTTTATTATTACTGTTTTCATCATATTTGTGAAGCAGCCAAAGAGAATAAGAGTAAAAGATTAAAACACTATGCACTTGAAATATCAACTGTAGGAATTACCTGTCCGAATTAATCAGCTTTTTAATTAAATCATTTAATTGTAGTAAACTGTTTTTCTAGGAAAACTGAGCAATTTTTTCTTGTATATGGAATCTTGACCCTGACATAAATATATGCACAAGTCCGGTCAGGGCTAACCTTGGCACCCCAGATTTTAGGTGGCCCCTGAACGTAAATAAAAAACACTCTAAGAGGCATAACCACTACAATGTGCTGTAATGATTATGGTTCCATGAGTGCCCTGGCACTCCCTCCCCATTGTATGTACTCAAACCATTTTTAGAATGGGATGACTTATTACCTGGAGTCCACCTGACTCTGCTTGCTGCCTCTACCACTGACTGGGAACCAGAAGCTGCCATTAGCTCTCCTGAGTTAAGATCTGCAATGCAAGATATGATCATTGACTGAGTGTGTCAACTGACCACTCTAAACCAAGGCGCTAAGATCTGCACTGCAGCGCTTAGCTGAAGGCAGAGAGCTTCTGGCTCTCCATCGTCGGTAGTGGAGGTGAGGGTGGGCACCCAGCAGACCCCAGGTAAAAGGGACAAAAGAGTTCTAGTACAGTTTGACTACATACAATGGGGAACAGTGCACTCCTGGTACCGTAACCACTACAGCGTGTTATACTGGTTATTGTGCTTAAAGTGTTCATTTAACATCACAAAGCTAGTGGAGTATCTTGGGAAAATCTAGCTTGCAGAAATGTGCTTGTTCATTACTACTTTATGCTGTTGGATTTGACTAGACTAGAAGGTCTCTGGGCAATCTATACGCTTTTTTTGGATCAGTAGGTATTGCACAGAGTGTAAACAGTAAATCTTCCTTAAGCAGCCCCTAAAAAATAATTCATTTAAACATAGTTTTTCTACATGTTACATACTGGCCACTATTTTATGTAATGTACGCAAATAATGAAATTAAACTATTAACGGGAACCATAACTGCTATAAAGATGTAGGCCGGTGTATATATAAAACACAATATTTCGAACTGATCAGCACACCTTGTTTACATTTTACTGTTGAATGATATGTTACTTACAATGCGTAAAAAGACTCTAATTCCCTTTTCATCCATATGGACTTTCAAGTTAAAGAGGGAAATGTACTGCAGGATCTTCAGAGATGCAGTTGTCAAAAAATACTTGTCTCTCTGCAGAATGGGTTTGGCAAGTTCAGCGATTGTCAAAATTGTAGTTAGTGATAAGATAACCTGTATAGGTTATTGGACAGATGGGTAAAATGTCCCTGTAGCATGGGGATAATTGATTGCATGATTCTCTCACTGAGAGATGTTAAACTCTGGGTAGAATGTGCATGCCTTTAATTCTGTGAGTGTTCATTGCATTCCACACCTTACAATCACTCAAAGGATTAATCCACTATTCATCAGACATCAAATGGGGCTAAAGGGGCATCCTTTTTCTAATGAACTTGATTTGTGAAAGTAACTGTTTTATATTTCTTTTCATATGAGGGAAAGGGGGAAAAAAAGCTTTTTTTTAATAAAATCAATGTTTTTGTTTGTGGGAGTTTTTGCACTGTGATCAGCCTTCTATTTGTGTATGTGGTAGATAGAGGGCTCTTTTTCTTGTTTAATTATTTCTTTGTACTCAGTCTTAATTTCAATAAAAGTGTGAATCTTTTGGAGTTTTATCAATATCCTTGTCTTGTGTGCTTATTGCAAATTGATAGTAATTTATTATATTATGCTACTGTTACATTTGTGTCATAATCACAAGAACTATATTAAACCATAGACATTTTACAACACATAATACATTTAGCTTTTTTATTAATTACAATTGTGTATGCTGCGGCTGTTCCCCGTGCTCTTTCCTCTCTGTCTTCTGGTTGGATACTCAGCAGCCTTTTTGCACATGATGACATGAAAAGAAATACAGAAAATGTTATCATGCTTACCGTAATTTTCTTTTCCTGGCTATTATTCATGGCAGCATCACTTATGGGTAGCTCCGCCCTAATCAGGAACAGGACAGGATAAAATCAATTAATACGGACCAGACTGGGTATAAAAGGTCCCTCCTCCTTCTATCCCACAGTCTAGTTCCAAAGCTAAATCTGATGACAAGGGGGGGTTGCTGATGCTGCCATGAATAATAGCCAGGAAAAGAAAATTACGGTAAGCATGATAAAATTTTCTGTATTCCTGGCTAATCATGGCAGCATCACTTATGGGTAATACCCAAGCTTCACCATAGGGTGGGAAATTCAAAAAACTCTAAACCAGATAATGCTGAAAAAAGTTTAATTTAGATAGATTCCACGGAGGACAGAACACCTCTACCAAAAGCCGTAGAGGAAGATGCCAAATCCAGTTTGTAGTGTTTGATGAAAGTGAGAGGAGAAGACCATGTACCTGCCTTACAGATGTCGTCAGATGGAACTTCTGCCCAATTAGCCCATGATGTTGCTAAAGCCCTTGTAGAGTGTGACTTGATCCTACTAGGAGGAACAAGGTCTTTCAACTGATAAGCCTTGATTATAGTATTGGAGATCCAACGTCTCAAGGTGGAAGTAGAGGCTGCTTCCCCTCTTCTGGGACCAATCGGAAGAACAAACAACTGTCGAGACTTCCGAAATTGAGTAGAAACCTCTATGTACTTGAGTAGGCACTGCCTGACATCCAATTGATGAAGTTTCACTTCCTCTGGAGTAGAAGGGGATGGATAAAAGGAAGGAATAACAATTTCCTGTAAGATGTGGAAATTCGAGACAACTTTCGGCAGAAACTCTTGTCTGGGTCTCAATATCACCCTGTCGTGTAATACCTGAAAGTGATTTTCATCGCAGGAAAATGCATGAATTTCCGACATGCGTTTTGCAGTAGTAACAGCCACCAGAAACAAGGTCTTATATGTTAATAAGACGATACCCAGCTCATCTAATGGAGCAAAGGGGTTTTCAGACAATACCTCTAGTACCATAGGTAAATTCCACGGAGGAGTGTAGTTCCTCTTTGGAGGTCTTATACGGATGGTTGCTTTAAAGAATCTAGCAATTAGAGGATCCGAAGCCCAAGATTTGTTGCAGAGAGCAGATAAAGCCGATGATTGGACTTTTAGAGTACTAAGACTCAGCCCTTTCTCCAGACCTGTATGAAGAAAATGTAGAATGTTGATGTTAGATGGCTGAAGAAAATCCACATTATTATCTTGAGACCAGGAACGAAAAACTTCCCAAATCTTATGATAGCAGGAAGAAGTTGATACTTTTCTGGATTTAAGGAGTGTAGTTACCACAGTTTCTGAGATCCCTTGAGCTAGTAGTCTCTCCTTTTCAAGAGCCATGCCCCCAATTTCAGCTGGCTGGGGTTGGGATGAACAGCTGGTCCCTGAATTAAGATGTTTGGTCTGAGAGGAAGAGGCCAAGGAGGTTCCAGGCTCATCTTGTTCAGCAGGGGAAACCAAGGTCTGCGAGGCCAGATTGGGATGATGGCAATGACTTTTGAGACCTTCCTTCCATATTTTTCTCAGCAGTCGGTAAATCATTGGTAGGGGAGGGAACGCATACCCCAGATCGAATTCCCATGGAAGAGACAGGGCATCCTGTCCTCCTGCTCGATGATCCGCATGTAGGGAGTAAAACCTCTTCACCTGAGTGTTTTTGTATGAAGCCATCAGGTCGATCTGGGGTACTCCCCACCGCAGGGTGATCAAGTGAAATAATTCCGGGTGTAGTTTCCATTCTCCTTGGAGAATCCTTGTTCTGCTGAGATAATCCGCCAATAAATTCTCTGGTCCCGGAAGATAAACCGCTTTTAGTCCTTGTAAATGCAGTTGCGCAAACCTCATTATTGGGGACAATTCCATCAGTAGAGAATAACTTCGAGTGCCTCCCTGATGATTTATGTAGGAAGCCACTGCTCTGTTGTCTGTATGTATCCTTACCCAGGCATCCCTCAATAGAGGACGGAACCCTATTAATGCCTTGAGGACCGCTCTCATTTCTCTCACATTCGAATGAAGTTTTGACTCCTTCCATGACCAAGTTCCTTGAATCCAAGAGTTGTTCAGGTGTGCTCCCCATCCCAGGAGGCTGGCATCTGTTGTTATAGTCATCCAAACTGGCTCTTCCAGGGGAAAACCACAAAGGAGGTGTTTTTCTTTTGTCCACCAATATAGCTCTTTTGAAATTCTCGGGAGTAAACGAATCTTCTGATCCCAATTTCCGGGTTTTGCTTTGAACTCTAAGAGAAAATGCCTCTGAATGGGTCGCATCCTCCACTGGGCCCATCTCACTAGGCCTATCGTGGAAGTAAGAGACCCTAGCAGGCTCATGAAATCTCTTGCTGTGATGTAGGATTTTTGACGCAGACTTCTGATCTTCTTCACTATTCGTTCTTTTCTGTCTGTAGACAGTGATACCAGGCCATTCACCGAGTCTATATTTGCTCCTAGGAAAATCATCCTCTGAGAAGGCACCAAAGAACTCTTTTTGGGGTTTATCAGCCAACCATGATCTTGAAGGCATTTGATGGTTATTGACGTGTGGACATTTACTATCTGACTGGAAGGACCTAAGATCAGAAAATCGTCCAGATAATGAAAAAGCTCGATGTTCTTTGTCCTTCTAAAGGCCACCAGAGAAACTAGAATCTTCGTGAATGTTCTGGGCGCCAGACTTAAACCGAAAGGAAGTCCCTTGAACTGATAGTGATTCCCCGAAATCCAAAACCTCAGAAACCGGCGATGACTGACGTGAATAGGTATCTGATAGTAGGCGTCCTTGAGATCGATAGAAGTCATCCGGGTCCCTGTCTTTATATTGGGCAGAATTGTGGTAATGGACTCCATTTTGAACGTTCTTGGAACCAAATATGTATTCAGAACTTTTAGGTCCAAAATTAGACGCCATTTCCCCTGAGGTTTTGGGGCCAAAAATATCGTAGAGTAGTGGCCTCTGTAATGTTCTCTGTAAGGGACTTTCTCTATGACCTGATTTCGTAGAAGTTGAGAAATAATGTCGTTCAGAGCAACTTCTTTTCTTCCTCTTGCCACTCTTGAACGGATAAAGGAGTTTTGAGAAGGGAATTCTTTGAATTCTATTTTGTATCCTTCCCTGAGGATAGAAAGAACCCAAGAATCTTGAATACTTTTGGCCCAAACCGGATAAAAGAAGCGAAGTCTGCCTCCTATAACATCTGGCTGGGCCAGCAAACGTTCAGAAGTTTTTATTAGCTGGTCTAGATCCTCTTCCTCTAACTGGTTTTGATGAAGAGGACGATAGCTTCTCCAATTAGAATTCCTGGAGTATTCTCTTCCGGGTCTATATGCCCTGACATCTCGAAAGGATCGGTCTCTGAACTTTTTATCCTTCCAGTAGGAAGCACTAAATCTTCTCTTCCCTTGGGGGAGAAAAGCTTTTCTCCCATCTGCTGCTTTATGGATCGCATCTTCCAGGACTTTACCAAATAGAAGGTCCCCTTGAAAAGGAAGAGCACATAGAGAGGCCTTAGAGGCGTAATCTGCACCCCAAGAGTGAAGCCATAATGCTCTCCTCGAAGCAACTGAGAGCGCCATACTTTTAGCTACCATTTTAGTAATATCCAGGGAAGCTTCAGAACAGAATTCTGTGGCCAGTTTTAAATCTTTAATGCCCTCCATCAGGTGTTCTCTACGGACTCCGGTAGCAGTATCCTCTTCTAGATTATCAACCCATATTTTAAGAGCTCTGGACAAGGTGGTAAGAGCAATGGCTGGATGTAATGCCGATCGCAGGGCCAGGTATGCCTTAATCAGGTCAGCGTCCAATCGCTTTTCCATTGGCTCCCTTAAATATGCCATTGAATCTATGGGAAGAGTTGTTCTTTTCGCCATGTGAATGACTGCTGCATCAATTTTCGGAACCGAAATCCATGATTTGCAGTCCTCAGGAGCATACGGGTATAATCTGGGGACTTTGCTCTTTAAAGTCACCTTCCTCTCAGGTCTATTCCATTCTGCACCTATTACCTCTTTGATGGCCGAATGAACTGGAAAGGTGGGTCTGTTAGGCTTCAGATCTTCAAAATATCTGTCAGACTCCTTCTTCTCCCTGCTTTCTTCAGGAATTCTTAACGTGTCTCTGATAAGATAAACCAACTTATCCACAGACCTGGAATCCAGAGATTTTGAGTCACACTCATCCTCTTCTTCCTCTGAATAATCTTCCATCATATCAGATTCCTCTTCTGATTCCACATAGCTTTCCACTCTGGGACGCTTGGGGACAGCCATCTTACTAGAGGATTTAAACCCTTCAGCAATTGCTTCTGAAATCCATTTCTTTAAGTCAGCCTGTGGGGAACTTTTCTTATCCCAGTCCTTCGCTGCTTCCGTCAAGCAAGATCTGCACAAATTATTTCCCGGAGGAGCCACTTGGTTGCAGTTTGCACATCTGTTGGATTTTTCTCTATATTTTCTGGGAGAATTCTCTTGGGATTTTTCTGGGCTGAAATTAGAGGCCAATATGCATATTATAGGCCTGTAATGGCACTCTTTTCCCCCCTTAAATCAATAAGAACATATGCGGCTCACCTATGTCTTCTAGAGCGAGATCTTGAGGCAGAGGGAGAAGCCATCTAAAATAATAATATGCTTATTGTAGGAGAAAAATTTTAAGCAGCAAGAAAATATTAATAATACAAAAAAATAC